ACCCCACTGGGACCCCCCCCTGCAAGCTCCTGAAGCTGCCCCTTCTGAGCCTCTGAAATCAGGAACAAGGAGGATACAGGACCTGAGGCCTGAACAGAAGCTCCTGAATGGGAGATTTGGGAAAGGCTGGGGGTGTTGAGAAGAGGGAAGTAAGAGGCAGAAGGTAGCTCAGGCTGGTTCTGAGGGAGGCTGCGGAGTGGAGGGTACAGAAGGACAAGACAGGGGGAAGGTGAGGCAGAGGGAAAGTGGCCAGGCTGGACCAAAGCAGTCAGGTACAGGGTCTCCTGCATACATGCACACACAAGCACTAACACGCACACACACACAACACACACACACGAACATGTGCACACACTCTTGAAATGCAGAAGCCGGGGAGAGCCGTGACTAATTTCTGCACATTCATACAGCACCTGATTTGCTGCCATGACAGGCCTGGCCCCTGCTTTAGGGATACTGCAGACCTGGATGTGTCCTCCCCTACTCCCTTGTCTTCTCTCACCTCTCTTCCCACACACAGGCCACCATCTTCAACATTATAGCTGTGTCCAGTGATTGTCATAGGTAGCTTGAACAACAGCCACAAGAATGTGCCTTTCTTCAGGAAAGGGTGGAAGGTCCTCACTTTTACCCCAGCAAGTTCCCAGCTGGTCCCTCGCTCTGCTTGGGAGCCCCAGCTTACCCACCTCCCCACCTGGAAAAGGCAGGAGCCCAGCTCTCCTCTGCCATCTGTCACTGTCATAAGTGGCCCATGGGTGACTGGCTATGCTTGTTGGCCTAGGAAGTTTTGGCTTGATGCCTATAAACATTCCAACTCTCTGCACCCCCACTAATGGGTAGGGGAGGAGATGGGAGAAATGAGCTGGAACACCATGGCAGGGAGGAGCCCGGGCAGAGCCAGAGGGCCACTGCTGTGTGGAGTTAGAGGTTGAGTCCAGGTGAGTTTACTTGGGTTCTTGTCTCAGCCGCTCCCCATTGCTCACCAGCCTTGACTAAGTCAGAAGCCAAGGGATTCTAGCCCCAGGAAACTAGCCCCAGGCCTCCCAAACTCTATTACTTTATTTCAGAGTCAGTCTTTAGCTTGTTCTTTTCCGCAGTCCTACTGAGGCCAATTAGTTAAAACCTCCAACCTTCTCACTCTCCGTCCTGTCAACCAGCCTCAGATGAAGTGCAGAGAATTGCAGTACAGGATAGAGGAGAAATAGTAGAATACAAGGAAGTGGCGAGGAGAGAGGGAGATGAAAGGAGAAAAGCTTGAAAATGAACTGGATAGCTGGATGCAGTTGTGCACATCTATAATCCCAGTGCTTGGGAGGATTAGTCACGAGGATTGCAGCCGGCCTAGGTAACTTAGTGATTCGCAGTGTAGCTCAGTGGAAAAGCCCTGGGTTTAACCCTTGACATCAAAAACAAACAAACAAACAAACAAACAAACAAACAAACAAAAAAGAATCTGGAAAATTGCTCTTCTGCTTCTAACCTGTCCTGCATTTACATCTACAGTAGGCATCAGCTGACCTTCACAGGACTCATTATTTTATTTCCACCCACAATCATGAAACACCTACTTTATGCCAGACACTGTACTGGGCAGGGAGACCCAATCAGATTAGTGTGATAGGGTATAAAAGGTAATCCCACCTGGCTCGGTGCTCTTGAAGCTTAGGACAGTATCTGTTGCTGGTTCTATAGCAGGGTTCCTGGCACCTACAATAAAGCCTGTTGGATGATTAATCTTTAGAAAGGCTTATGGCATTGCCCAGTAAGGATTGAGGAAGGCAAGCAATCAGGGATGAGAGTTGAGGGAGGGAGTGGTTACAACACAAAACAGTATTTAGGAATACAGACTCTGTAGTTAGACTGCCAGAGTCCGACTCTCCTATTTACTAGCTGTGTGATTTGGGCAGTTTCCTTACTTGTAAATAAGAGTTGTTTGGGGGGTAGGTAAAAAGTGTCTATGAAGTGACCGTACAGAGTCAATGCAGGAAACCAGCAGTCACGGGGGGAAGCATGATAGAGAGATTCAGAAATATAGCCTGCTGGGTTCGAAATGAGGAGGAACCTAGTGACTGAGTTTAGGAGCTGAGTCCAGTTAGAAGCAGGGGCTTGTGGAGTAGGAAGGGAGTTTCTGACATGTGGAATTTAAAGCTCTTGTGCAAGTCCAGGAAGCTCTGGGCTCAGTGTTTGTAGTGCTCAGCAAAGAGACCATGGTAGAAATACAAAGATAAGCTCTAGTCCATCCTTCTGTCCTTAAGTGTCCTGTGAGAGACCCTACTGCCTGCCTGAAGAGATGGTGGGTGGGAGGGTTTCAAGGAGTTTCAGGCCAGGGTCTGCTGCGTGGAGATACTGTGTGAAGGGCTTTTACTCATCCCTCTCCTGTCTTGAAGCAGGGAGCCCACTTTGTAGGAACAGTCAAGAGGTTTCAGAGGCAGCATTACTAATGGCAAAACACACAGACTCAAAACCACTTGGATGAAACCACTCATGGTGCCATCTCATGGGACCCTGGGCAAGTCCTTTCACTTGGTCTCAGCTTTCTCATCCATAAGTTGGGATAACAATAGTACCTATATAAAAAAAATAGTACCCATCTCATAGGGTTCTGTGACATCAGATCAGTAAATGTATATAAAGTTTCAAGAACAGAACCTAATGCATGTTAGCTATTATTCTTTTGTTTTCGGTACCAGGAATCAAACCTTGTATAAAGCTATTGTTTTTATTGCTTATCTAACACACCTGCCACCCGGATATATCTGACAGTCAAAGGAGGGTGGAGGCTACACCAGGGGATGATATGCATGTCCCCAAGATGACCCACTGTTGGGCTTGGAGTCTTCTTCAGACATACTTCACAGTCCCTTGACCCCCTCAGCCTGGATCAAACATCTGCTGAGCTGTAATTTCTCCACCTCAGACTCCTGAGGGAGTGGGACCTCCCCCATCTAAATGAGAATCAATCAGTGCCTCCAGAGCACCACAGTGTAGCACTGGGGTTAAATGGTACCAGACAACTTGGATTTCATCACCAATTCCACCCTTTGCTACAAGTCTGTTCCTACCAAGTTACTTAATACTTCTGAGCCTCAGTTTCCTCATGTGTAGAAGAGGATGACAGAAGGGCATACTTTATAGGATTTTTGGCAGTGATAAAATTCATGGGATACACTTGGGCACAATGCCAGGCACAGAGTTAGCTTTTGTGGCTTTGCTGCGTGGTCTACAGGCAAGCAGATGACCTCTCCTTTCCTTCTGGGGTCTATACTCCTGGTCAGACTCCAATGCCAGTCTCAAGAAGCTCTGGTGGATCACTGTCCACAGCAGCCTGCAGTCATTACGGCAAGCCCACAGTGCCTGGTGCTTTTCACCATGCACAACTGAGGCTCCCAGCCAGTCATCCTTTTCTGGCAGTATCCAAGTTTTTCTTTCTTCTTTCAAATTCCAGGAACTTGGGTGAGTGGGCTTAGGTCTGGGGCCAGATTCATTCTCAGGGTCCCTTTTCCCTGGGGAACATTAAAAACACAACCAGTGTTTCTCAAAATATGGGCACAGCAGATGACCCAAGGTGTCTGTTCAAAGTACAGTGTTTCCATTTCATGGCACTAAGACTGACTTCAAGTTTGGGGAGTTGGAACATGCACTTTAATAAACTCCTAGGAGAAATGTACACACACACAAAAAAAAAAAGTGGGATTACAGCGAAGCATGGTGTCTCATGCCTATAATCCCAGCACTTGGGAGGCAGAGGCAGGAGGATCCCTGAAAATTCTAGGCCAGCCTGGGGCACACTGTAAATTTAAGGTCAGCCTGAACTGCATAAATTCTGACAAAAAGGGTGGGGTGAGGATTTAACTACAATTAAAATTCCCCTTCCTCTCATGGAGAAAATAATTCTCTGTGCAGGATGAGGTCTTCGCTTGATGCAGCAGAGGCATCTGCTGGTTAGTGATGTTTCTGCCTCACCCTGGCAGGCTCAACAGCAATAGACTAGTGGGGAAAAGAGGTCCTAGAAAGTTGGGGACAGAACTTGTTTCTTTTTCTAAACCCTCATTATCATCCTGAGCAATTACCAGGCATCACAGAAGTCGCTGTCCCAGGGTCACTGTCTCTTCCTTTTCAGAAGCACGGATGAGACCAAGAGAGTAGCGTCGGAAAACCTGTGCAGTGGTGGAAACTGAGACCCAGAGAAGTGTGGGGCCTTCGCACGAACCCCGCAGGGTCGGACGCCGGAATAGTCTCTGCTTCCACTGTCCATTCGAAGGAAGCTGTGACCCTATAAAACTGCTTCTCTCCACGAAGCTTACTACAAACCACACCTCTACCTAGGACCTCAATTCCCTCCCCCAACTCGGTCCGGTCCGTCAGTCGGGCTATCCATCCAGCGCGCGGTTCTTCCGCTCCAGCCTCAGTCTCCCCATCCGCGTCCAGTGTGCTTGCCTGGCAACCCCGTGGTGGAAACCGGCCAGCGGGGTTCCCCACGGGAAAGCAGACCAGCCCCTCCCGCGGCTGCTGAGACCCTGGGCCGGAACGGGAGGCAGGGCGCCCCCGGCCGGGAAGCGGCCCCAGCCCGGATTTCCCTCCCGGGTGGGGCCGCAGTGACTCACCCCTCCCCCTCCTCTCCCTCCCCTCCCCTCCCCTCCCCTCCCCTCCCCGGTTTCCGTGTTTGCTTCTCCTCTCGGCCACGTGGCGGCCGCTGCGCCCGCTCCCGCGGCTGCCCGCCGCCCAGGACCTGCGCCAGGAGACCGCTCCTACTCGCCAGGGGGCTTCGGGGCTGCGGCCGGTGCCCACCCACAGAACCCGGGTCGCGACTCCACCCCTCGTGCGCGCCCGCCCGCCAGCCCTCTTCCCCTCGGCTACCGCTGGGCCGGGCGCCACCTCCCGCCCCCTCGGCCGGCCGGACTGGGGAGGGGAAGGGGGCGGGCAGCGCCGGGGGTGTAACAGCTCCCGCCCGGCCCAGTGCCAGCTGCAGCCTCGCTCCGGCGCCCGGTGCCAGCAAGCTTTTTCTCCTCGAACGAAGGCGGAGGCTCGTGGCTCTTTGTCGGGGGCGGGGGTCCTGTCCCCAACCCCCTAGCCCTCTATTCACCCAAGACGAGGCTCTCTAATCACCCTTGCAGCTTGCTGCACTGCTAGTGGGTCGGCTTGGAACTGTCCTTGCTCACCCGCCTGCACTCAATACCAGCACCCCGCTACGACCCTTCCCCCCTGCCTACAAGTGGAGCTGGCTGGGGCTGGCTGGGCATCCCTCAGTCTCCCGCCGGAGCCTGCCCTGAGGTGCGAAGTGCAGGGGAAACATGAAGGTGGGTAAGGTGGGGTCAGGGTCGGGGAGGAGCCGAGGAGGGCGGGAGAGGAAGCCAACCCGGTGGGGAGTTTGGGTGAGAGAGGTTTGGTTAGTGGGAAACAGGGGAAGAGGGTTCCAGCCGCAGCCGCGCTTCTAGGGATCCCGCAGTCCACAGCCTAAAGCTCGGAGGGGTGGGATTTGTGCAGGGGTAGAGGCAGTGAGGTGGGGCAGAATTCCACAGGGCTCCCTGGGAGTCCGTGAAAGACCCCTCCGCATGCATCAGACCGGCTGGCCAGGGGAAGGTTTTCCTGCCCCTCCCCTCCGCTCCTGGCAAGGTTGCAGCTCCTCCGCCTGACCTGTCCAGAAGACTCTAAAGTAGTGGTTCTGTCTGGAGCAGTTGTGCTTTGGTTCCTGCCCTAGCTCATGGCTGTCTGCCTCCCACCCCTCGCCACAGGTGGGCTGGCCAGGTGAGAGCCACTGGCAGGTGGGCCCAGCTGTGGAGGAGAGCCCAATCCTGGGAGTTCCTCAGATAGGGAGCCTTCCTGACGTGGTGCCAGAGGGGACACTGCTCAACATGGTGTTGAGGAGAGTTCACAGGTCTCGAAGCTGCTCCTACCAGCTGCTCCTGGAGCACCGACGACCCAGCCGCATCCAGGGGCTTCGCTGGGTGAGTACTTCCACCTGTGGGCAAGGCCAGGGCACTTGGGCTGGCAAGGGCCAGCTGCTAGTAGACCAGCTTGCTCGTGGTGTGCAGTGTGGTACACATGGGGTGAATGGAGGACAGAGAGGCTTGGCTGAAGTGAATGTGGGTGGCTCATACTACTGCAACCTGTGTGTCTGTACCTCCATCTGGACATGAGGGCAAGAAGAATGGTCTTCGTCACGGATCTGTCACCTCTGAGTTCCAGGCAGAGTTAGGTGCTTGTGTGTTCTTTCTGGGTAGGGGTAGAAGATATGGGGGCTAAGTCAAGTCAAGCACTTACTGCGCTGGACATGTCACCGTGGCAACATACTCCTTTCCAGAACAGCTGAACTGGGCTGACTCTGCTTTTTGATCTCGGAGTGAGGGTTCATGTGTACACTGCTTGGCATGTGGCTCTCAGGGACTCGGGCAGGTTCTGAGAGGTTTACAGAATCCAAGATGACTTGAGGCTCCTTTTGCCAGTGAAAACAGCTCTAGAGCTGAAGGAATGAAGGACAGAGCAGGAGGGGGGAGAATGAGGGTGGCTGTGAGGCTTCCTGGAGTAGCTTCTCCTGGGATTCAGTGGCGTCTCTATTGTGTGTGCCCACCTGGGTGTATGGTGGGGAATGGTGTCCCAGGCAGGAGTGGATGCCAAACTTGGGACAGCTTATCTTTTATCAGCAAGTCGCTTTGATCGGAGCAACCGTCTTCCTCTTACCTTGTCCAGCTGCCATTTCTATTTACTGGAATAGGAGGCCGAGTTGAAAAAACTGAGGCCTGGCCAAATATAGGTGTCCCTCTTTGCAAGTGGAGCTAAGAGGGGAATCCAGGTCTCTGTCCCAACTCTTCCCCAATACTTTTCTCCTGGGTGGGTCTTTCTGATAAGAGGCCTCTGGGACCTGGTCCTGGTCCCCACCCCCGGGCCAGGTCACTGCCACAGCTACTGCTGGAGCCAGTGGGCTGGAACACTCCCCCCCCCCCCCCCCCCCCCGCCTCCTTCCCTCCCAGGCTATAATTACTTGTGCATTTCCTGTCCCCTTCATAGCTCTGGAGGGGAGGTAGGGGGTGAGAGGCAGAAGGTCAGGTACCAGGACAGTGAGCTCTCACTAGAAGATCTCCTGGGACCCAAAGTCTGGAACAGGGTGGAGGAGACTGCCAGGCTGGCTTCTGGCACCCCTGAGCCCCTAGAATCGCTAGGCTGGCCTGTGCCCTGCATAGGGAGGCCAGGAGGGTGAGGGTTGCTGAAGTGTAAAGGGATCAAGGTGCAGAACAAATTCCCCCTTTGCCAGGAGTGTGTACAGTGGGGAGAGGGGTTGGTGATAGAGGGAGCTTAGTTAGGGTTAGGGATATAGCTCATCAGCACAGCCCCTGCCTGGCAAGTATGAGGTCATGAGTTTGATTCCCAGTACTGAAAAAAGAGGGAACTTAGACTTTTAGGGCTGTTATCCCTGAAGGTTGGGGATGGGTGGTTTCAAGACATTGAAGGTTAGGGTTCTCTGCACCTCTGCTCCTGATGATGGCTTTACCCACTCAAGGCTCCCACCAGGAAGCAGTGATCCAGGACTGTGCACACCCAGGGTGAAGGAGAGCCCAAGCCCAAGGAGGACAAGGGTGGGACTCATCTGGCCACACTTACTTATTTACTTTCTTTCTCTTTTGTCTTTTTTTTGAGCCCAGGTCTCACTATGTAGTTCAGATTGGCCTTGAACTTCCTTTGTAGCCCAGGCTGGTTTCAAACTTTACAAAGATCCTCCTGCCTCAGTCTTCTGAGTGTTGGGATTATAAGCCTGCAACACAATGTCTGGCTTCACACTTTTCCTATTCTCTCTCTCTCTCTCTCTCTCTTTTTTTGTCTTTTTTTCCGTACCAGGCATGGAACTCACGACTGCCTGCTTGCAAGGCAGGCGCTTATGCCGCTGAGCTAAATCCCCAGCCCTCTCACACTTTTCCTTTTAAAAGGCCCAAGGGAAAGCCTATCAACCTCCCAGAGAGGGGTCTGAGAGAGCTCTTTCTGCTCCTACCAAAACAACACAAGTAAAAATGAAAGCAGAACAGCAGGAGGGTTTGAGGTTAGATGATAAGGTTTAAGGTTAGAACTTTTCAGGGATGTCAAGGTGGCACTGGAATGAGATGAAGAATGTCTTCTTTGGAAAATGTGAGGGGAGATGAGATGTTGTCTGACGTCTAAGGCTAGGGGCAAGGTCATGGTGACCTCTGGTGGCTCCCATAGATTCAAGGAAGCCTGGACTGCTTCTCTTTGAGTGAGTTTTTTTTGGGAGGTGGCCCTGTTCTCTATTTGCATGTTCTAATCCATGCAAATAATGGTAGTAGTTTATGGTTCCATAATATTGATTGTGAGAGCCTCGCATTTACCATCTCAGCTCATGGTAGCCTGTGGGATGCGTCCTGCCATTTTGCAGACAGGGCAGAATTGTACAGCTACTAAGTGGCAGAACTGGGCTTTGCTTCCAGGCAACTGGCTGCAGAGTACAGCACTGACCGTGGTGTCCTCTTTCCCTGTCCACTACTCACAGCCTGGCCTAGGACCTTAGGCACATCCAAGGGAACTGGTCTGACAGGTCCTCATGATGACTGGCTCTGTGGCTGTCCTTGGAGCCCCACCTTGACACTTAGTGACAGGGAGGGAGAATGGGACAATCTACTGTGCTGTGGGACCAAGCACCTTCTCTTCCACTGCAAATCCTTCTGGTCCAGGATTGAGAGGAAGACGAGGAGGTGAGGGCTTTCACCTTGTCCCACACCGCTGGCTCCTTTCCAACCGAGAACCTTTGAGCTAATACTCAAGGGTCTTGGATGAGGGCATGGGCCAGTGTTATTTTTGTACTGTGTCTAGGTAACAGGTGTCCATCTTGAAATAGTGGTGGATGGAGTCACTGTATTTAGCCTTTACTGAGCAGTTGTTGTGGGGACCCCCTGCTGATTGACTCATTTGAGCCTCACAATAATCCTGGAGACAGGTAATATAATTATATCAACTCTATTTTACAGATGAGGAAACCGAGGCTTTGAGAGGTCAAATAATCAACATGAGGCCATAGGACCAGATGGCAATTTGAGAAGCCAGGTGTTTAACGCTGCTGAATCTACACATTAGATTCCTGAGTAGTAGTCCAATTCCTGCCCATCCCATTGGTTCCCATGCACTGGAAGACTGCAGGAGAGAAGAAGGGTTCTGATAGCAAGCCTGTCTGACTGCCTGCCGTAGGACCATCCTGAGGGCAGAATACTGCTGCTCTGTGGCATCTGTGACACACAGAGGGTGAAGCACAGGGTAGCACCACAGTGACGGAGCACAGTGCTAAGAGCATACATGGGCTTTGGAGTAAGCCTGTGGATCCTATTTGCCAGCTGTAGGGCAGGTTATGTAACCTCTGCACCTCCTTCTCTCTCTGTGAAAAATGATGCAAATACCTACTTCCATGGGCAGTACTGGTAGCAGAATTGCTCAGTGGAAGCTTCAGTTTCTAAGCAGTTGTGTGACTGTAAGTGACTTCAGTTCACAGGGCATCTGCTTTCCTTGGGAAGTGAGAGAGAGGCCTTTAGCTCTCACATGTGGTGGGTGGGAAACAGGGACATTCTCTGTCCCTCTGCTTATCCTCTTGGGGTGGGACAGGAAATGACCAGCTTGGCTGCATGATTTGGCACCCCCTCCTAATGTGCCCTCCCAGGTCAGAATAATACCAGGAAGGGAACTGGTGCTGAAGCTTGGGTTGTGAGCACCAAAGGGAATTGGGGCAGGGACTGGGATGGCATGGGCATTTTAACGTGAATAACAAGTCCGTAGCACTCAGGTACTGTTTGTTCCAACAGGGGGGCCTGGCTGGGTAGCATTCCTGCCCTTCCTTTCTTCCCGGCTCCTCCTCCTCCTTGTTTCCTGTCATTAAGTCTCGAGGGCTCTGGATCTGGCACTGGATTGGGCCTTATGATCCAGACAGGGATACCCTTGGGACACCTAGTGACTTCCGTCCAGCTCTGGGCCAGGCGCCTGGGCATACCAGATTCAAGCCTCTGCCTGGGCACAGTGGCAAAATGCCTATGCCTAGGGACCTTCCAGCCGTAGAGGTGAGGACTCCGGCTGCAGTTTCCACCGAGGTCCTTCCCAAGGCCCTGAGTGCAGGTGGGCAAGCAGAAGCCTTGGTGAGGGAGGAAGTGGGAGACAGGCAGGTGCAGCAGGCAGAGCAAGGCCAAGAACGTGAGCCCTGGCGGGGAAGAGCTTGAGTTTATCCACAACCAGCTGCCAGGCCTGAGTACGCATGGCTGACTTCTCAGGGCACTTCACCTTTAGCCTTTTGTTTCCCCATGAGTCCCAGAGAACGGAGGATACCTGCCCTGATCATTCTACCCCTGAGTCTAGGTCCCATAACACCGAGGAGGTGGGCACGCCTTGCAGACTGTAAAGAAATCTGCCTTTGGGTGGGCAGGGCATCCTGTCCACTAAGATCTGTCCACCAAATCCAGTTCTCAGGGAGCCAAAAAAGGAAGCTTGTGAGGGGCTTCCATGGCTGACATCCCATGGGGTTCCAGTGTCTCCACCAATACCGAGGGAGGGAAGCCTTATTTATTTATTTATTTATTTATTTATTTATTTATTTATTTTTGTCTTTTTCCTTTTTATTGGTACCGGGGATCGAACTCACAACTGCCTGCTTTACAAGGCAGGCGCTTATGCCACTGAGCTAAATTCCCAGCCCCCAAGTGAAGCCTTATTAATCAGAGAGCCTGTGAAAGCCCAGAGCCACTTCACTGTACTGCCATAGTCTTGCTCATTTTTACAGGCTGATGGACTCAGAGCATCTCTCAAAAGAACAAAGCCTTTTAGCCAATAGCCCTATCCTGGCTCTCACTGCTAATGATAGCAGCTGAAATGTACATACAGCCTCATGCCGGGCAGTGGTTTAAACATTCATTGTGCATGAACTCTTGTAATGCTTCTTAAAGCATGTGAGTTGGTTATTATTACTATTTTATAGATTTTATACATTAGGCAACTGAGACAAGGAGAGAGTAAATCATTTGTTCAAGGTCACACACCAATAAATGAAGGATCAGGCATTTGAATCCAGGAGCACAGTTTTGGGGTTTACATTTTTAACAACCAGGCCTAATGGAGGCTCCCAGAGGATACAGGGTCTGTCCATGATCCTGTGCTAGGCAGAATATCTGGGCTGGGCATCAGGCCTGCTCCCTAGCCCAGGAGCACATGTCCCCTCCCCACCCAGCTGCTCCTCTCCTGACCCCTCCCAGGTCTTACATCGTGCCCTCAGGTTCCCCTTCCCCACACAGAGGCAGTTTCCCTGGGAGCCTGGGCACGCTTGGCCTTGGGGCAGCAGAGTGGGAATCTTGCAGCTCTCCTCCATAGGGTTACAGTGCTCCGGTGCTGAAGGAAGAAAAAGGCTTGATGACAGGGGGAAGCGGGTAGGGTGGGAAAAGGCAATGCCTGGCACTGGGAGTATGCCAGGGATGTTCATTTGTTGCTTAAGTGATTAATGGATACATTTGGGGCTGGGGACTGGGCAAGGGTAGGAATGAGGTAGGAAGGAAAAGACCCCATGGCTGCATTTGCAGGCCCCACACCAACCTATAAACTCTCTCTGCTATTCTCAGACGCCACTCACCAACAGCGAGGAGTCTCTGGATTTCAGTGAGAGCATAGAGCAGGTACAGGCTGAGAAGGGGTGGAGCTGGGAGGGGGCGGCAGGTGGAGGGGTGCAGGGTTTGAGCCAGCTGTGCCTGTTCTGCCAAGGCCTCCACGGAGCGGGTGCTCAGGGCTGGGAGATACCTGTACCGTCACCTGCTGGCCACCTGCCCAACCCTCATCCGAGATCGAAAGTACCATCTGAGGCTCCATCGGTGAGTAGGGTTTGCCTTTTCCCTCCCCTTCCCCATCTCTTTCCTTTCCCACCATATTCCAGGACTAATCCTGCTGCTAGGGGAAGAACCGGGCTTGGGTCTCCAGTGCGCCTTTCTGATGCAGAGTCCCTGTGCCTTCCTACAGGCAGTGCTGCTCTGGACGGGAGCTAGTGGATGGGATCTTGGCCCTGGGACTTGGGGTCCATTCCCGGAGCCAAGCGGTGGGCATCTGCCAGGTGCTATTGGATGAAGGTGCCCTCTGCCATGGTGAGCCCAAGCTGTGGGTGGACTGGGTAGTAGGCCTCCAGGGGGTGTTGCAGAGGGGGTTGGCACTGCAATGGGGACCTCATACCTACATGGCCTCAATTTCCTCTCCTTCCCGTGCCTGGGCCTTGGTCCCTCAGTGAAACACGACTGGGCCTTCCAGGACCGAGATGCCCAGTTCTACCGGTTCTTGGGGCCAGAACCCGAGCCTGCAGGAGCTCATGAGCTGGAAGAGGAGCTGGCTGAGGCAGTGGCCTTGCTCTCCCAGCGGGGACCAGATGCCCTGCTTACTGTGGCACTTCGAAAGCCGTGAGTTTGAAGCCCCATATCCCCACCTGCAGGTCCCATGTGGCACTTAGACTCCATAGACTCTTAGGCTCATCTCTGAGACCTTTGTCCTCTATTCTGCATCGGCACACTGTGTGTCCTCCGGCCCCTCCTATGTCCGGCCTGTTTCTGTCATCAATGAGAATGTGGGCCAGAGGACCTGGGAGGATCCTTCCCACTCTGAGTGTAGTCCTGGCTGAAAGAGGGGAGGCTTTGGAATCTGCAGACAGCTCAAGGTTCCAAGTCCAGCTCCACTGGCTACTAACTGGGTGACCTTGGGCCTTCCTCTTCTGTCAACCTAGAATAATAGAAGTTGCGTCACTGGGCTGTCAGCGGGGATGGAATCAAATAATGCTCTAAGGTGCTCAGCATAGGATCTGGCACCTGGGGCCCGCACCACAAAGGTTACCCCATTATTGATAAAGATCAAGGAGCAGGTGCCATCTGGCCCCAGGGCTGAGCCGGGTGGGCGGGGTGGCTCCCGTATCTGGCCCTGGGCCATGGTTCCTCACGTGCTTCTGTTACTTCTGTGGCCACAGCCCAGGGCAGCGCATGGATGAGGAGCTGGACCTCATCTTCGAGGAGCTATTGCACATTAAGGCTGTGGCCCACCTCTCCAACTCAGTGAGTCCCTGTCCTTTGCCCATCTAGACCTGTCCTTGTCCCAGCAGGTGACTCCTAGCAGGCTGCTGCTGCTGCTGGTTGGCAGTTCCCTCCCCACTGAATGTGAATAGACATTCTCAGTCTAATTTCGTGCCTTTGGTCTGAACACCTTCCTGCTGTGCGAGCTGTCTCTTGCACTTGCCCAGTTGTGTCCTATGAACACCTCACCTGGCCTGAAGCACTTGAGTCTTTAAACCTAATCCCTCCTCACCTCCACACTGACCCTCCTTTTCCTCCTCATAGGTAAAGCGGGAATTAGCAGCTGTCCTGCTTTTTGAACCTCACAACAAGGCGGGAACTGTGTGTAAGTTGGGCTGGGTGCAGGGGCTTGGATGAGACAGAGTGACAGTGAAGGCGGTGCCTGATCTGTACCTCTGTCAGTGTTTAGCCAGGGGGACAAGGGTACCTCATGGTACATTATCTGGAAGGGATCTGTCAACGTCGTGACCCATGGCAAGGTGAGCCCCTCTTGTCCTCCCAGCACCCTAGGTTGTTATGTTGCAACTGTGCCCTGGTCCACGTTGTTTGGGCAGCACCCTGGCTGGTCCCAAGGTTTCCAATTCCCATTTCCTGTCTGAGTTTGACCCAGCAAAGTCTGGGCACTCAGTAGGCTGTGACTGAGGCCTGACTGCAGGGGTTGGTGACCACATTGCACGAGGGAGATGACTTTGGACAGCTGGCTCTGGTGAACGATGCACCCCGGGCAGCCACCATCATCCTGCGAGAAGATAACTGTCATTTCCTGCGTGTGGACAAACAGGACTTCAACCGAATCATTAAGGTGCCTCATCATAGAGATATGATGTAGGGGACGGAGTGGGGAGCAGAGAGAGACTGCAGAGAGATGGTGCATGTGAGGGCTGGGTCAAGGACTGTAGGCTTGTGTGAGGAGGTAAAGCCCATAGCCGCTGAAAGGCTCAGTGCGATCTCAGTGTTTGGGAGCCTAGGGAGTATGGGGGACATGGCACAAGAGGAGGCAGTCTTGTGCAGAGTGGGTTCTCTACAGAGAAGGACTGGAGGAGGGGCTTGGGAAGGGGGTCTGGGGCCTGAGGCCTGTGTGAGGGCAGGGAGGTAGGTGTGCTTGGGGTCAGAAGGGCTGGAGGCAGGGTGCAAAGATGTCCTAGTCATGTTGAATGCTGGATGTGGCTTGCTGTCCAGGATGTGGAAGCGAAGACCATGAGGCTAGAAGAACACGGCAAGGTGGTGCTGGTGCTGGAGAGGACCTCTCAGGGCGCTGGTCCTTTGCGCCCTCCCACCCCAGGCGGGAACCGGTGAGGCACCACCCCCACTTCTCTCCTTCCTTTCGTAGCCTTCACTCCTTTATCCTGTGTCACATCCCTGCCCTCTGGGACTAGGATGTGCTCCCCAAATCACCTCCCTCTGTACCCCAAGGACAGGGGAAGAATGACGTCATTGATGATTAACTTCTCTCGGGGCCATGGGAGTGGGGAGAAATGGTGTAACTGCTACTGACTGGGTCCCTGCTAGGTACACAGTGATGTCTGGCACCCCAGAGAAGATCCTAGAGCTGCTGCTGGAGGCCATGCGGCCAGATTCCAGTGCTCATGACCCGACAGGTAGGGGCGGGAGACACCTTCCCTGCCTGTTCTCTGATTCACCCTGTGGTCAGCATAGCCTGGGACAGGTCCAGGCACCTGGCGTCTGATCTTCTTGGGCACTGGATTGGTTCACACAGCCATTCTACAGGATGTCTGCTTACCTGAGCTCTTGCTTGAGTGGGGAGGGTGCCTCACAGGGGCTCAGCATTGCTGGTCCTTGTGTGTGGAGCACTGTGGGGAAGGGATGCCCCCCAGCTGTCCTCAGTTGACTTGACCTCTGAGTTCTGCACTCCACCCTATCCCACAGAGACATTCCTCAGTGACTTCCTCCTGACCCACAGCGTCTTCATGCCCAACGCCCAGCTCTGCGCTGCCCTGCTGCACCAATATCCTCTCAGCCCGGCCCTGACAATGTCGGTGGGGGAAGGGATGGCACGTGCAGTGCAGCCAGGCTGTAAGGATACCTCTCAGATGCCACCCTTGGCCTGGGGCCAGCCTGTTGGTGGGGGCATCCTACTCTTCCAGTGACCCCAATAGCATGCCATGGTTCCCTTGACTGGCACTCACCTTCCATGCGGAGCCGGCAGAGTCTGCCGGGGGCAGTGAGCCAGAGCGCAGCACCTACATCTGCAACCGGAGGCAGCAGATCCTGCGGCTGGTCAGCCAGTGGGTGGCCTTGTATGGTCCCATGCTCCACCAAGACCCTGTGGCCACCAGCTTCCTCCAGGTACCCCAGGGGGGCAAGGCTGGCTGGGCTGGGGGGAGGCCCAGCGACAGCCATCTCAGGGAATCCTGGTTTTTCACAGAAACTCTCTGACCTGGTGAGCAGGGATGCCCGGCTCAGCAACCTACTGAGGGAGCAGTGGCCAGAGAGGCGGCGACATCACAGGTGACCTTTGCCTTCACTCAGCCTCGTGTACTAGGGATGGAGGATGCATGTGCAGGGCTGGCCTCTAGCTTTAGAATCCAGGCAGCACCACTCATTTCAGTTAGTGGCTTTTATTGGTCCCCTCGCTGTTCACCCCAGTGCCAGGTGTCCACCATTCCCATAGTCCGCAGTCACCTGCTTTGCTCCTGTCCCATCCGGAGTGCACCTCGGCTCTCACTTCCTCCACCACACTTGTATCACTTGCTATCTAAGTGGCAGTCCCTGCCAGCCCCACCTGTCTACTAAGCTTCCTAGACTGATACCTTCTGAGTTCTGATGGGGACAGAATGGGATCCAGAGCCTGGCCCTGCCTCTGTGCCCTGAGCGTGCCTGGTGCCCCCATTACAGCCCTTCTCTCTTGCTCCGCAGGTTGGAAAATGGCTGCGGGAGTGCATCTCCACAGTTGAAGGTACCTGCCCTGCACTGCCTGTCATCTCTCCTGCCCTAACTTCCTCCCTGGAGAGGCCGTGTGTGATCCTGGGGCCAGGCCGTGGCAGGGAGCAGAAGGAGGACACTGAGGCTTAGGGCAGCAGCTTCCTCTCCACCCCATGGGGCTTCACTCTGCGGGAGGCAGGTCATGCCCAGTCAGCTGGGATGTGAGGCATGGTTGCTAGGCTTGCCGAGGCCTGAGGGCTGCTGGTTGCCAGCTGTGGGGATCTAGAGGGAGCACAGGCCCCTCCTTTGGGACTGGGGAGTAAAAGAAAAGAGGAGATGTGACCAGAACCCAGACTGATTGAGGAACTGGGGGAGAAAGGACTTCAAAGCTAGATTGCGTTGGGAAGAAAATCCAAATGCCTCAGCCAGCCCAACTCACCTGCTCCTCTCTTCTGCTGGCTGGAGGCTCCCACTGCTTCTCTTGCAGAGGCATCATGGAGCTCACCTCAGGCCTCTGCACTGACCTGCTCAGAACTTTCCTTGCCTGCTTGGTCCCTTCTCCAGATAGTCCCTTCCTGTCTCCCCACCTAAGCACCCCCTCCCCCTGCATGACCCAGGTGTCTTCTGTGATTTTCTTCAAATCAGTCAGTTGTCACATCTCTGTGGAACCCTGCCGCACGGGCAAAGGCCTCTGCTTGGCAGGTGACTGACACCTGGGGACCCTCCCTAGCACACCAGGTGCTGTGCTAGCTACCTATGATGAAGCCATAGCCAGCAGAGCCACCCTTGGCCTGTGTGCTTACGGGCAAGCGAGGAGCAAGGCTGTGAAACAACCTCGTGATGTGCAAAGAACAGAGTCTTGGAAGTAGAGAGGGAGCGCTGACGAGGTTGTTGGGTTTACAGCAAGTGTTCTCAGAGCCGAATCTGAAGTCTGAGGGGTGAGCACAAAGAGGATCCCAGGATGACCCTGGGGGACAGAGAGAATGGACCGCAGAGGGCTGGAGAGGTGGGCAGGAGCCAGGGCATGAAGGGTTACCTGGCCAAGAGAAAAGACTGTGGCCTTCTTCTGAGATCAGTGTAGACATTGAGAGGTTTGAGCCAGGGGCTGCCAGGATCTGATTGGCGATTTGAAGGGGTCAGTGGAAAAGCAGGCTTATCCACAGACAATGAGTGCCTTGAGCTGGGAGCTTCCGCTGGCTCTGCTCAGGCTGACTGGAGGAGGGCTGGAGTCACCTGAGGGCCCAGGGAGGAGAACAGTTGGGCCATTGTAACAGGCTGGAGGAGAGGAGGAGCCTGAGGGAGGACTTGGCTTGAGAGGGGGTGGGGGGACCCCCGCAAATGTGTGGAGATGATGATAGGTCATGGATGGGGAAGCTTGCTGGCAGCATTCTGAGCTTCAGCCATGAGAAGGTGGGGCAGCCCTGTCCACAGAGGTTCTGCAGCACTGGCGGCCCACTGCTGGCCTACTGTCAGGCTTGACAACAGGTGGTATGGACAGGACATGGAAGGAGGAACAAGATTTCAGCTCTGACGTTCAGCAGCTGTGTGGCCTTGAGCATGTTAACTTAACCTGTCTGAGTCTCATTTATCTCAGCCATAGGGTACCAGGTGTCAGCCACCTGCCAGTAGAGGCCTTCACTCATGAGGCAGGGTCCCAGAGGGATGTGACAATTGGCTGATTTGAATAAAATCACAGGTCATGCAGGGGAGGGGGTGCTTGGATGGGGAGACAGGAGGGGCTCTCTGGGAATAGTGAGAGGTGCCTAATCAAGCAAAGAGCCAAGGAAGGTTCTGAGCAGTTCAGGGCAGAGTAATACTTTTCTCTAAAAGCTATTGTGACTATTTACATAGAACAGTGCCTGGTTTGTAGCCGATGATAGCTGAAGGAAGGAAAGGAAAAGAAGTCTCTGGATCTTTTGGGCACAGAGGAAAGGATGTACCCGTGGAGGGCACCGCCTTACCTACTCTGTCTCCTCCAGAGCCTGAGTCCCTGAGCCACACTTGGACTCAGGTTCCCGTGGCCAGCAGAGCCCTCTGGTGGTACAGTGCTGTCAGGTTCCTGCTCCTGGTGACACAGATGCCTCACTGTCCCCCCTGCATGCCGTCCCTGTGTCCTCTCAGCCTTACTTTCTCTTCTTCCCAGGCCCGGAACATACCTGTTTGGCTCCCCAGCCAGGATGAGCCTCTCCCAAGCAGCAACTGTGCCATCCGAGTTGGGGACAAAGGTAAGTGGTCCCAGCCAGAAGGACAAACAGAGCCTGGCTTCTGCACTCAGCTGTTTCTGCCCCTCTTGTGAAGAGTCAGCAGATGTCCTCTGCTGGGGATACCTGGGTCTGGGGCAGCACTCTGTGCTCTCAGAGGTCTCTGTTCCAGGATGCTAGGCAGTTGGCCTCCTGTGCCCCTGTCCTGGCTCAGGGTTCCTCTGGCCACCTGGCTCTGCGCAGCCTGCAGGTTTAACCTTTGCGCCTGTTCCCTGTTCCTGGGGGACCCTTGCTTTGTGTAGTTGGTACCCTCCCTCCCTGAGCTGGGGAGACCAGGCAGCTCCTCCGACCACTCAATCCCGTCCTCCTCCCCAGTGCCCTATGACATCTGCCGGCCCGACCACTCAGTGCTGACCCTGCAGCTGCCTGTGACAGCCTCGGTGAGAGAAGTAATGGCAGCACTGGCCCAGGAAGATGGCTGGACCAAAGGGCAGGTGCTGGTGAAAGTCAACTCTGCAGGCGGTGAGTTGCGACCCCACAGACCCTGAGGGAGAGGGCTCCTCAGATCTGCGCCCATATCCCCCAGATTAAGATCATCATCCTCTGCATCACTGTCACCAGTGCTGATGATAGGTAGCACTTCTGGGAGGTCTTTTGCATCTGTTCACCCTGCTTTATGTGCAGGGCTTGTGAACATGGTCTCTGGAACCTGCTGCCTGTTTTTGACACCAGCCCTTTGGCTCACTAGTGGTATGTCCCGGGCAAGGCATTTAATCTCTCTGTGCTAGATTTTGTCATCCATAAAGTAGGGATAACACAAGTTTCTGCCTCCTTGAAGAAATGAGCTGACCTACAGAAGTGATTAGGATAGTGTCTAACACATGGCCAGCACTGTGCAAGTTTAGTTGCTACCATTATCATTCTTAAATATGCCTTTAATCCTAATGATGATCCTATCAGGTTGGTATTTTTGCCCTATTTTCAGACAGGGAAACTGAAGTTTGGGGATTAAGTGGCTTTCCCAAGCTCACACATTAGGTGGGATGTAGATGTACATGGTCTTTGGCCTTAGGCAGTCTTTATTCATGTAGTCATTCAGCAAACATTTTTGAGGGTCAGCCATGGAGCAATAGTATATTAGAGGCCAGAGAGGTACCATGGCAATTAAGGTAGATCAGGCAGCTGGTTAAGGGTAGAATGGTAGCTGGACATGGTGGCTCACATGTGTAATTCCAGCATGCAAGAGGCTGATGCAGGGGGATTGCTGTGAATTTGTGGCCAGCCTGGGATCTATAGTGGATTCAAGGCTAGCCTGAACTGCAGAATGGACTTGCAGACTGGCACAGGAAACCCAGATCACCTGTCAACTAGCTGTGGCATCCTGAGCCTCCCTTCCTTGTCTTTAAAGTGAGCACTGTCATGGTACCCACCTGTACACAGGGCTATGGCTAGAGTAGAGATAGCGTGCGCAGTACAGAGTCAGGGCCTGGAATGCGATTGCATAAAGCTCATCAAGGCCTGCCTTCAGAGCACTTGGGGCACAAAAAGCCACTGTTCTCTGTGCAAGGCACAGCCCAGGCTGACAGCTGGAGCTCAGGGTGGCCAGGAACCATGAGCAGTCTGGGAACAATGGCGAGAGGGGAGGTGAGGAAAGCCTCTGCCTCCAGGAAGTGAGCTGAGGTCACTTGTGCTGTGTGCTCTGGGGAGCACTGCCCTCTGCCGACCATCTGGCGAGTTGCAGTTACCCAAGTAATTGCTGAGACCTGCTCTTGTGTAGTGACCTTTTAGACCACTTTGAGCTCAAAAAGCAGACCCTTTTAGTGCCTATCTGCAGACCACTGGCACCGTTGTCAGTAACCAGTATTCTTTTTAGACATTCTCCACAATGTGTAAATGTGTTTATAAATTATATATTACTTCACTTATATCACATAACTATAAAGCTATACATAAAATAGAACTAAATGCAAAACAGGTGGAAACAATAAAAATAAAAGCTAGTATTTTTCCTGGGCTCAAGGATGGTCATGCAAGTCTTATATTGAAGGTCACTGGTCTAGGGATGAGGTCTCAGACAGGACTAAAAACACAGTTCTGCTACACAACGAGCTGATAAAAACCAACACCAAGATTCACACATGGCATTTCCCAGTCTGCAGAGGGCTTTTCCTGTGCCTCGCATACATGCAGCTGTATTTATTGTGGTTAACTCATGTGACTTGTGAGGGAGTCAGGAAAAGTCCTAAGATCTCCATTTTCCAAAGGAGGAAGACGAAGCTGGGGAAGGCTTCTTCCTGGATCACCTTTTCATCCTCCACCCTATGCTGTCTTTGGAGAGGGGTGAGGGCACAGGGCATGCACCCAGCTTTCCTACAGCACCTGTTCATGGCCCTAACCACTGCTGGAAAAGGAACCTCCCAAGCAGGGCCTCCACCCGGTCCCTGGCCACCTTCCCAACCCCATCCAGCAGCCTCTGCTTTCTTTGCAGATGCCATTGGCCTACAGCCAGACGCCCGTGGCGTGGCTACTTCCCTGGGGCTCAACGAGCGGCTCTTTGTTGTCAACCCACAGGAAGTGCACAAGCTGGTAGGGCCCTGGGTGGGTGCCAGAGGCCAAGGAAGACCTCTTTTGAGGGCCCCAGAGGTTCTGGGAAGAGGTAGATCTGGCTGCTCTTGGGGCTGCAGGAAGAATAGGAAGGTGTGGACCTTAGGTGATGGGGAGATTCCAAAGATGAGGGGCGGATGTTGCTGGTTGTGAGCTCCCAAGGCAAAAGAGGACCTGCTCTACTTAGGGGATTCGAAGGAAAAAGAAGCCCACTACTGTATAGGGGAGTCATCAGCAGGATGACTCCTTAGGAAACTACCTTCCAGCTGCTGCAACCCCTAAAGCCTTCCACTCCTTGCAGTGCCTTACTCCCAGCCATCCCTCCTCCAGAGGTGTAGAACATTTGCCCCAAGCCCTCTGTCCCTCCCCAATCCCACCCCTCAGATTCCTCAGGCACCTTCCTGGGTATTCTTCTACCTGCAGACCCCACACCCCAAGCAGCTGGGGCCCACTGTGGGCTCTGCAGAGGGGCTGGATATGGTGAGTGCCAAGGACCTGGCAGGGCAGCTGACAGATCATGATTGGAGCCTCTTCAACAGCATCCACCAGGTGCGTGAGGTCGGGCTGTAGGATGAAAGGGCCAGTGGGGTGGCCTGTCCAGCGCACGCTGACCCTTTCTCTTCCCACCCAGGTGGAGCTGATCCACTATGTGCTGGGTCCCCAGCACCTACGGGATGTCACCACAGCCAATCTGGAACGCTTTATGCGCCGCTTCAATGAGCTGCAGTACTGGGTGGCCACAGAGCTCTGTCTCTGCTCAGTTCCTGGCCTGCGAGCCCAGCTGCTCAGGAAGTTCATCAAGCTGGCTGCCCAGTAAGTACATTCAGCAGGGTGCAGCATGTGTCTGGAGTCCTGGGGACGCCTCTCCTGCTCACTCTATTGCTGAATTTGTTCCCGTGTTCCTATGTCCCTGGAGGCTTTGCCCTGGGCCTCCCCACCCTGCCCTATGGAGCAGGACCCTAAACCCTAAGCCTGGCTGTTGGCTTGGGGCGGAGTGAGCATGGCTGTTTTCCCTGAGCATCTCTGCATCCTCTACTCACAGCCTCAAGGAGCAAAAGAATCTCAATTCCTTCTTTGCCATCATGTTTGGCCTTAGCAACTCTGCCATCAGCCGCCTGGCCCATACCTGGGAGGTAGGTGCCACTACAGGAGCCCAATACTGAGACTAAGTCTCTTCCCTGTCCTGGGAGTCTGGGCTGGTCATGGGGCTCCCTGTCTGGAGCCCCATCCAGTGGTGGCAGCTCATGGCCTCTCGTTTACAGCGGCTGCCCCACAAAGTCCGGAAGCTGTACTCAGCCCTGGAGAGGCTGCTGGTGAGTGCTGGATAGGGCTCCTCCCTCTAGAATCCCCAATTCTGGGCTTCCTGCACCCTCTTCCTGTGTATGGCCGGGCTCCAGGGATCCTGACACAGAACCAGGGCCTGGTTCCCTCTGGCTGTGTGTGGGCTGGTTGCGGGGGTGGAGTATGCACTGTGTGATGGGATTGCATGGTGAATTATATCATACGATGTGTACCCAAGGGGACATTTGCTGTGGCTGTGAGATCCGTGATAACCAGGGTGGAGTTCAGGGGCTGTCCTAGGGGTGAGGTGCTGGGTCATCAGGGGTGCTACACTGTAGCCATTCTGCCCAGGGACCAGAAGTAGGCTTGGCACTGAGCACTCATGGTGCTGAGGCCAGGGTTGATCAGGGGGCCCTGCAGGACCTCAAGTGTGGTGTGGGCCAGGCCAAAGATAAGGCGTGAGTTGTGAGGCTGAGCCCTTTGCTTCCACCAAGTTTTGAGGGTTCTGAATTATTCAGGAGAAAGAGAAACAGTTGTTATCAGCACAGCCCTGGGAGCTAAGAAAACAGTTTACCTCTTGGGACTGAAGAACTTCAGAGGAATTTACACACCAGAGAGAGAGGGAGGGAAGGTGAGGTGAGGATCCCAGAAACTTCAGGGCCTTGTGAATACGCCCAACCCATGAAGTGTCCTTAGTAGTTCAGGAAGCCATGAGTGTGCAGGCTGGCAGTAGCAGTGGCCTATCACAGTCAGATGGCCAAGTAGCAGCTGAGCATGGAGCCTCTCTCTGGGGCCAGCCAATGGGTGGGATATTTGGTTGTGCTGGGTCTGTGGTGGGTGATAGTACCCACCCCACCCTCACCATGACTTCCCCCTCAGGACCCCTCGTGGAACCACCGAGTGTATCGACTGGCCCTCACCAAGCTCTCCCCTCCCATCATCCCCTTCATGCCCCTTCTTCTCAAAGGTAAGAGGACCAGCGGGCACCTTCTTGCTTCCAAGCTGATGCTGTCTCTTTGGCTACCCAATACTGTTCAAGCTATTACACCCAGCTCCCGGGGCCTGCACCCTGGGGAGGGTGCAGATGAACTGCAGTTCACAAACTGGAAGGGCTAAGACAAAAGAAAAGAAGGTTGTGCTAGAGAGCTGTGGTCTAGGCCCCAGAAACTCCAGGAGGCGCTGCAGGTCAGAGAGGGCACTGTGGGATGGCACGGCCACCAAGCTCCTCATTATTTGCCTTCACCTTTCCTGGACTGCACCAGGGAGGAGGAATTTAGGGACCTATGAGCAAATCATCCCTTTGCAGACATGACCTTCATCCATGAGGGAAACCACACACTAGTGGAGAATCTCATCAACTTTGAGAAGATGGTGAGTTTAAAGAGAGTAGGTACCCACCACTGGCGTGAGTTGGGAGATGGGATGATAGCCTGAGAGGGTAGAGAGTCGGAGGTGCCAACACTTGTTGGGAAAGCCACAAATGTGATTCCTGTTAAACATCTTCTGGCTTATTCTTGCGCACTGATGGGTCTGCTTTCTGCTGGGGCCACAAAAGTGACAGTGTCAGACATTGCACCATCCAGTGGTGGCCCCTTCTGGCCTCATCTGAGTCTCCCCTGACCTCTGTTCTCCTTCACTTCCTGGTCCTGCTGTCTTCCTTCACTTTCTGCATGTGCTGGGGTGAGGTAGCGCGGAGCCCAGCACTTACAGACCCTTAGTGCCTAAGAGTACCCAGGTCAAAGGAGCTTGGATTTCTAGCAGGATGGGGTGCCGTCCGCAGGCCTGACCTCATGCCCTTGTGTTGCCCACAGCGAATGATGGCCAGAGCTGCACGGTTGTTGCACCATTGCCGAAACCACAGCACTGGTGAGAAGCCCAGTTCCCCTGGGTGGGAGCCCTGGTGTCCCTAGGGGATGCTGACGTGGCTGGTCCTCCTAACTCCCACCTTTCACCCCACCCAGTGCCTCTCTCACCTCTTCGGAGCCGAGTTTCCCATCTCCATGAGGACAGCCAGGCATCGAGGATTTCTACATGTAAGTGGGGGGAAAGGTGTACGTACTGATGGTAGTGAGCCGTGGCTGGCATTTGCGGGGCCCTTGCTGCGTGGCAGGGACAGAGCCAGGCCCTGCACAGTACCTGTGTGAGGCAAGAGAAGCTGTTATCTTAAAGAGGAGGGAAGACTGGGAGGCTGAGGCAGGAGGATCATGAGTTTGAGCCCAGCTTGGGCAACTTAGCACAACTTTGTCTCAAAATAAAAAAAGTGAAGATCTGTAGCTCAGTATGAAGGCCCTGGGCTAAATCCCCAGTACTGAAAACAAGAAAAAGAAGAGGACAGGCGTGCTGAAGCAGCTTGTTAAGGACCGCATAGTTAGTGATGGACCCAAACCAAAGCGTTTTACTCTAACTGCATTTCTTTGGTTGGACCTTTGTCTTATGAAGTAGAACTAATCAGAATCCATGGTTCATGGACTCTGTTATAGGCCATGTTTATTTTAATGCATGTATTTATTTCCATAATGTATACCTCTGGGCCTAGTCCAAGTATGAGAATATTGGTAATAATTTACACCTCCACTGTCCGCTTGCCTCTCCTCACCCACCATTACCACTGTCCTCGATTTTCACTTATATCTCACATATTTCACTCACAGTATCCGGGCTAGCAAGGCCTGATGGTGCATGCTTGTAATCCTAGCACTCAGGAGGCTGAGACAGAAGGACTGCCATGAGTTTGAGGCCAGCCTCAGCTATGTAGTGATTTCAGGGCAGCCTGGCTACATAGCAAAATGCTATCTCAAAACAAAAACCAACAGTAAAACATAATATCCTGAACTATTCACTTTTAGTTTTTGAAAATTACCTTATCTCACACCTACACATACACCCCTTTGAAACTCTTCATCTATAGTATATATGCTGTAACAAAATATTTTGAAATTTCAGTTCATTGTGAACTGAGTAAAACGGATGTTATACTGTATGAAACCTTGGGGATCTGCTTTTTTCAGATACTTCAACATTGTGCTATTCTGTGCCCTGCGTCCATTGGGGTGCACAGTCCTGGGGCCTAGTGGTGGTGGCCGGTGGCCGGTGGGCAGTACACACAGACAAGGCCCTGCTGCTTCTTGGAGCAGGAAGGGTGGGGCTTTCTGCAGTGGACCTCCCTGACTGCTTGCCCTCCCCCAGGCTCGGAGCAGTCCCTGAGCACCCGGAGTCCAGCCAGTACCTGGGCTTATGTCCAGCAGCTGAAGGTCATCGACAACCAGCGAGAACTCTCCCGCCTCTCCCGGGAACTGGAGCCCTGAGGAGGGGCTGGGGCTGAAGCAGGCACTTCCCACCGAGAAAGCCAGGGCAGGCCCGGGCTAAGGAGCCCACAGGCCGGCCGCAGCTGGGCAGGGCTCTCCCTGAGTGGACTCGAGGCCCTGGAGTGGGCAGCATGGAGACAGCTGTCCCCTGTGATGACTGGCAGCTGAGAAGGACCTCAGAGTGGAACTGCGCTGGGACCCACAGCCAAGGAATGGGGGATTGCACAGTGCCAGGAGTGGGTGGGAGAGCTGGGCAAGGGCTGGACTCTGTTCAATAGAGAGCTCTCCTCACCAGGCTTTTTCCAGCATCTTGGCCTCATGGCTCTGTCATCTAGCCCTTGCCAGGCCCCTGCCTGAGTTTGTTTTTGCACTGGAGAGACTGCATATGCATGGCATGTGTGTGGGGCCTGGCTGGGAGGATCGGGGCGGGGAGTATTGCTTTTCTTTCAGAAGCATCTGAGATAAACAGCTGGGTGTGGGCAGGGCTGTTTTGCTGGGAGTGGTGGTCCCTGAGGAGCTGTATTGTTCCCATAAGTTAACAAAGATATGTGTGTTCTGAGGCCAGCCATGTGGGGGTGTGGCAGAGAAGGAGCTGTGGAGAGGGTGCTGGTGGGCAGCCCCACCATACATGGTCCCTGGGACCAAGGCAAGGCCCTGGGACAGCTGAGTGCTGCCCAGATGTACACCCTGGCCCTGGGACCTCAAGCATCCAGAGAAACGAGAATCCATTCTCCATGATGGAGCCTATTACAGTTGAGATGGTAGCTAGCATCTTCTCCCTTCTTTCTCCTAATTCCATTCCCTGTTCCTGGTGTTTACTGTTTCTACTGGGGCCCCAGAGGTGACAGTGGAGGCCTCTGAGGGGCTAGGAAACAATGGAGAATGTGCTGTGTGAGGTGGAGGCTGCTGAGGATGGCATCCCTCCTTGGGCTTACCAGGCATCCAGGAGACCGTGATGGATCCTCCAGCAAGCTCTGTTCAGTTAGGACCTCACTTTCCTGCCCCTGCAGCACATCCCTTGGGACCCAGAAGCTTCAGGCAGGGCCCACACCCTTTCTGTTTTCCCTACCCCAGAGCTGGTAGCCACAGGTTTTATCTGGCTCGAAAGAGACCTCAGTGTCCAGGATGAGCCTGAGTGTGCTGTGATGAAGCCGAGCCCTAGGGTGGCTGGAGGAAGGAGTGCCACAGCCGCAGCAGTGGGAGCAGCTGGTGTGGCCTCTGCCCTTGCTTGGCAGGTGCAGCAGCTCGCTCAAGTGAGACACACCTGCCTCACCCTGAGTTGGGTGCTGCCAGACTCAGCCTTAGGTCATGGCACATGTGTCAGCAGCCCCCAGAGTACTGAGCCCTTGGCAGGGAGGCAGGACAGTTGGGATTAGTCCTCAGGTTTCTAAAGAATCTGATCAAGTCAGTTCATTTCTCCATCTGCAAGACAGGTGTAATGATTCCCGTCCCACTGTTAGTGACAAAACTCCTGTTCCTGCCTCTGTGGCAGAGGTGACTTACAAGGGATCCCTTGTTTGAAGCCTGATGAAGGGGCAGCATCACCTGGCTGAAGCCTGAGGTAGACATTGAAGTGGAGCCCATGGCAGGTGTGTTAGTCACTTTCCTGTCACTGTGATGAAATGCCCCACCCCTACAATTTAGAAGAGAGATTTATTTTGATTTGCAGTTTCAGTGGAGCTAGGCCATGGTTAGCTGGGTCCAAGACAGAAACGGCATGGTGGAAAGGCCTGCCCAGAGGAGGGCTACTCACGTTGTCAGGGCAGCCAAGAGAAAGGGATAAAGGGACAACTGTGAGAAGCCAGGGACTAGAGCACACCCTTCCTGGTAACACTCCCGGTGACCTGCAGCCTCGTCAAGCCCCACCTGCTAACAGCAAGCGTGCTTTAAATTCATCAGCAGTCTAATCCACTGGCAAGTATAGTGCCCCCCCCCCCCAGGATCCAGTCATCTTTCAAACAGGAGGCTTTGGGGGACTGGCCCTGTTTAGGTCCAAACCATAACAGCAGGGGTCACCACGCCAGATCTCTTCCCTCTGAGTGGGGGTGAAGGCTCAGGAGCATGGGCAGGAAGCTTACTGAGCTGAGCTTTGTGACCATGCCTTGGTGAGTCCGGAGTCTGAGGGGCTTTCTTTTGACTGCATTTTCTCTTGGTGTTTCGACCAAACCCACACCAGTCAGCAACCCACAGTTGATCTTCACCAGCTTCGAAGCCACTAGTTCACACCTGTGTTGCAGTGGAACGTCTCTGCTACACGTGGGGCTTCTATCTTGGATGACCCTTAGCCTCCAGCTGCCTCAGTTCACCTGTTGAACCTGTTGGGGAAACAGTGCCCTGCGAAGGCTAGAGGAAGATCGAGAAGCAGGAGGCTGAGAAGGAGAAGCAGAGCCCCCACATGATGGACGGATGTAAAAAGCACAAAACAAAAAAACTGCTACTTAAAAGAAGATGAAGAAGAGAAGGAGCATGTGTGCATAGGCATGTGCGTCCTATGGGGAAGAACAGGCCAGAAGGGCCATAACCACATATACACACCTCACCCGCAGCTTCCCTGTGAGGCTGCAGGCAGGCCGAGAGGGCGCAGGCACCATTTGGGGGAACAGTAGAGTGGTTCTGGGGTTCTCTGCCTGCAGCCAGGCCTTCCCTCTCTCCTCCAGGCCACTCAGCAATGGACAGAGATGGAGCCCTCACCCAGCACCCGCATGTCCCTTCTCACCTCTGGCTTATAGCAGGGTGAGGAGCAGTTCTGTTCCCACAGGCCTCAGGGCTCTGTCCCCAAGGACACTCAGCTTCCCATGCAGCAAAGAGGTGTCTTCCTGACATGCAGTTATGCATAGGAATTGTGAGACTAATAGCCTGTGATTTGATCACTGTTTTTGTCCTTGCCCTTCACACTTCTGCATCTATGATGTTTCTATGCTGATGATAGGTAGGTATTACAGGTGTTTTTATTCCGATTTCAGCCAAAGAAACCAAGGCACAAAAAGATTGGCCTTTGGTCACATAACTCCTTAATAATAGAGTGGCTGGGTGAAATAATTGAATATGGAACAGCTATGTTCTTATCTCATGTTCCTATCATCTCCCTGAAACCCAATGTAGAAATTTTTTTCTCCTCTGCATTTTATTTTATTTTGGTTTTGGTCCTGGAATCAAATTCAGGACCTGACACTTGCAAGGCAGGCACTGTGCCATTGAGCTATATCTCCAACTCCTATTTTCAAGCATTTACTATGGGCCTGGTGGCAGCTCTGAATAAGACAGGCAGCCTTGGCCCTCATGGAGCCATCCTCCCAGCTGGGCAGACAAGTCCTTTGGAAGCAGATGTTTCAAGGTCAAGTCCAGAGCACTGTAGAAGCCTGGAGTCCCTGTGTCTCACCACTTACAAGCACTGAGGCCAAGAGCCATGGTCGTGTGGGAGTGTGGGTTCATAGCCCCAGCCATCTGCCCCTTTCTGGCCCTGCACACTGCCTGCCCAGCTCTGCCTCCCTTGCTGGCAGTGACCCCAATTTCCTATGGGCACACACACCCTGAGCATCAGACAGCACAGCACTGGTGGCTGGAGGGAATGCAGGCCTGGCAGCTGTCAGCCCTTCTTTCCTCTCCTCCACGGCTCTATAGGTGCTTTAAGATACATGCTTAATCCTGCCTCCCACACAAAGTTTTGGGCGCTGGTCTGAAATAAGTGTCCCTTAGGCCAATTCAAGCACTCTCCTCCAGATCCTTGACTCTGAGCCTTGAGCTGCCACCCTTCTGGCAGCCCGCGGTGAGATAGCTTGCAGCCAGGGGACAGGTAGCTGCTGTCCTTTCCGTAATGATGACAGAACTGCACTTACTCAGAGAAGGTAAGTCTGACTCACATCCTTATCTTTTCTCCCATGCCTGGCGGCCTTCCTGAAGCAGGTAGCCTTGATGGGGTCACTAGGGCTGCTAGGAGTAGTAGTTGGATTTCTAAGGAAGGTGCCTGCTGGCCTGCAGAGCAGGAAGCAGCAGGAGCTCAGGATGTGGGGGTTCTGGTTGCTTGTGTGTGTGGAGATCTGGCCAGTGTGGAGTGGGTTAGGGTCCCTGCAGCGAGCTCAGGGCCCCGGCATTCTCACAGGTATGTGACTTGTGGGCAGCTGGTACTGTTGCTGGGTTGCTGACTGTAAGGCAGTTCAGGCTTTCCTGGCATTTGGGGACTTTAGCCATGGAGGGTGGAGAGAGAGTGACTTTCTGCTGGAGCAGCAGAAGGCTCCACACTTAGGGGGTGTCCTAGAAGACAGCTCATCAGCCAGAGCCTGAGGCAGCATATTAGGCAGTGTGAATGCAGGAGACCGGCCTCAGTTTCCTCCTTGATAAAAAGTTTTTGAACTAGAAGTGTTTAGGGGGATCCTTATAGTCCATGATTTAGGCAGCCCTAGGCATCGTTAGGTGAGGTAGTGCAGATCCTCCAAGTATGTTCTCTGGGCGACCTCTAGCCAGGGCTGCCCCTGGAGGACTAGTTGGCTGCACGCAGTTGTATTGCAAGGGCTGCTCACACCTCACCTAAGCTTCACCTTCCACAGCCGGCCTGAGTGCGTGACTGTGGAGTTCAGTTGTCTGTAAAGGGGATCACAGAGCACCCCAGGTGGGGATGCAGGGAGAAGTAGGGGACCAGCTGTACCCGCTCAGCTTTGCTGGGGCTGAGCCTTGTAGGTCCTGGAGGGAGAGCCAGCGTGTGCAGGCGCCTGGAGGAGGGAGGCTTCGCCTGCCATCTGCATTTCTTCTTTTGGTTCTGGGCTTCCTGTTAAGCAGCTGCAGCTGTCCTCAGAGCCCAAGCTCTGTTGGGTTGGGGGCTGGAGACAGGGCTTTGTTCCCATCGAGGTTCTTAACCAGAATCAAGTTACCTTTGACAGCAAACCAGGTGAATCAGGCAATGGGATTTCCTGAGGGACCAGCGTCCATAAGACCTGAAAACACTGCTCACTTTTTACTTTTACATTTATTTTTGAATTCTAAAAATAAAAAAATTACATTATGGGGAGTTTAGAGATGTTACCACTTTCTCATGCTTCATATGTCTGTTTTTTAAAAAATTAATTATTTTATTGAGACAAGATCTCATCATGCAGTTCAGGCTGGTCTTGAGCTCACTTTATAGCTTAGACTGGTCTTGAACTTGCAAGGATCCTCCTGCCTCAGCCTCCTGAGTGCTGGAATGGCAGATACGCACCACCACACCTGGCTATGAGTCTATTTTAAGTGTCATATTTTAGGGAGGACTTCCCTAACCATTCTGTCTAAATTAGGCCCTTTATGGCTCTAATATATATGTTTAAAGAAGAAAAAAGCCACAAAATTTCAAAACAAGATAATACGAGAGTAACAATGATTGTTAGCAACACTGCATATTGTTATCTTCAGAGTAATTAGGGTACCAGATACAGGCATGAGATATTGTCCAAACAATATTAGCACAAACATTTCAACGAACTGAGAGAAAGTAGCTGTATAACTATCTTAACTATCTTGTTTATGTATAAATATTTTTCCTTCCTTCCTTTCCCCTTTCCCCCATCCCAGTTTTTCTTTTCTTTTAAACAGTTTCTTCCCAATTATAATATCTGTTGTACATTTTGGGTCCTATTTTCTTGTTCAGCTTCTCACATTAGTGAGAATATGTGATGCTTCCTACAAATAATTATGGTAACTTCGACACACTGTAAATTTTCACACATGGCTCTGGAACTGCTCCTGCCAGTCCTGTTCTAGCAATGTCTTCATGGAGCAGGACAGCCCTGCCATGTCAACCCTCCTGGGGCGAGACGCTGGTGTGGTGTCTCCTGCCCGCCCCTGGCTCCTGTTCAGCTTCAGGTGTGGCTGTCTCTTGATCTCACCTTTGCTCACACCTCACTGTCTCTCTGAGCCCCCTTGCTGCTGTCTGTCTGTCCCATCCACTTCTGTTTGTTCACACTCTTCAAAGTTTGGTGGAGTTTGAGGATCTACAATAGTAAGTTTTATCTTCACTTTGGGGCAGTATAAAATAAACATCAGCACAGCTAGCAAAAACTATAGACAGGAATTCACTCTGTGATCCTTACAAAACAGGATGAAGTTGAGTCATCTGTTACTTTATAGGTTCCAAAGCTGTTGAAATCCTGGGCTCTATATGATTCCCCAGGGGTCTGCTTCTTTCAGTGGTAGTCCTGAAGCATATTAGTCTGTCATATGTTATTATAACACAATACTGGAAATTGGATAACTTTATAAGGAGAGGAGGTTGATTTTTCTCATAACCATGGAGGCTGAAAGTCCAAGATTGAGTGGTCCCTTTGGTTCTGGCTCTAGTGAGAAGCTAAGCTGCAGCAAGCTGGATATGAAAGATCACATCACAGAGAGGAAGCCAGAGTAGGGAGGAGGGGCCTGGCTTTCTTCCTTTATAACAGTCCTTTCATAAGAACTAATCAAAGGAATGAACTCTCTTCATCCCATCTGAGGGCAGAGCCCAATAACCTTCCCACAGGCTCCATCTCCTAAAGGGCCACGTCCTTTCCACTGCTGTGGACAGAGGCTCCAACTCGTGGACCCTTGGGAACAAACCACATCCAAAACATGCAGGTGGATGGGACGTCAGGTACCCCTCCAATTTCCATTGTGCCCAAATGCACCCGCAATATAGCTAAAAATAGTGTGTTTACTATGAAAATACAAATTTAAGATGGATCCCTAGCTGGACATGAGGGCACACACCTGTAATCCCAACACTTGGAAGGCTGAAGCAGGAGCATTGCCACAAGTTTGAAGCCAGCCTAGACTACATAATGAGTTCAAGATCAGCCTGATTGCATAGAGAGACCCTATCTACAAAAAAAGAAAAAAACAAAAGAAAAGAAAAAAAAGATGAATCCCTAGACCTTACTTCCACCCCAGGCCTGTCGGTTCACTGGTAAACTGAGGCTTTCAAAGCTGATAGGGAGCCAACCCCTCGCCTCTGTATTAGTAATGACCCTCTCAATCCACTAGTACAATCAGGGCTAGTAGCTGCCCAGTCCCCTCATTCTTTCATGTGTTGGTTCCTTGCTGTTCCCAGGCACATTAGAACAGCTGTCTGACACACAATGGATGACAATGCCAAGCAGTGGGGTGGGACCAGGAGGCAAGTCACTCTCTCGAGGAATTTCAGAGGTGAGCTAAAGGAACAGCTGGTGAGCATGAAAAGGGCAGTGCAGCGCGTGGTGTTAAGTGACATCACATCGGCGGCAGGCCCATCAGAGGTGGGATGTGTCAAAGTCACATGGGACAAATATCAAGAACCAAGTCCACAGGCAGCAGGGCTCCTGTGGGCCATAGATGCGTAGCAGATGGACATCCGGCAGGCAGGGAGGGTAGGCAGAGGGCATTCCAGGCAGAGGGCCAGCCTGAGGCATGGGCAGTAGAACCAGATGCACAGCCTGGGAGTCTCTGTGGGAAATGTGCGGCTGGCAGGTCTGACTAATGCGCCGGGCAGGCAGGGCAGTGTGTGTGCGCAATGCTGAATGTCAGGGCTGCCCACAAACTTCAAAAGCTTGGAAGTACAACTGTGGTCTGCAGCATGCAACCCAATGTGGCAAAAGAAATCACACATGTGGCCATTTCTAAGACACATCAAGAAGATCAGATTTGAGCCGCTGTCCTGGAATTCTCTCCTGGGGCCAGGCCAGGCCAGACCAGCCCTCTTAGGCCATAGCAGGTTTGAGGCTGGTGATCCAGCATTCTCAGGTGCCAGCGTTGCCTGGGGAGGTGAATCCAGACCTCATCCATGCTGGGCCAGCTGTAAGGTCCATCAAGGCTCCATTTGTCTCCGGGAAACACTTGGCCTTGGTTTCCCAGGGAGACAAGGCTGGTAGATTGGGTGGCCTAGGCATGCACCCCTTTTAGTGTGCCCCGGACTGATTTTTCCCTCCAGCTTTTGATCATAACACATCCTTAACAATGGTGGTAGCCCATGATAAGTGTTACCTACTTCAATAATCTAATGCCAAACTGACCTGTTCTCAGTCCCCCTACTCCCAAAACTAGTAAGTTTCAGGAAAAGTTTTCCAGTCTAGCCCAAACTTGCCAATCCAGTTATAATGTAGCATCCAGTATACAAAAAGTGAGCAAAATTTAATTGCTGACAGAATTCCTGTTCCTTACATCTGTGACAGCAGACTGCCACCCATTCCCTTGTCTGAGCAGCTACACCTCCACACCCATGAAGCCACAACTACATCATCTCTCATCTTCCTCCATCTGCCATGCACCTGCCTCCACCCTCTCCCAACTCCAGGTTGCCAGGACCCAGGCTACTGTGACGCCCTGCTTGCTGGCTGGTCCCTTCTATGGTTTCTTGGAAAGAGCCCTCATGGGTGGAAAACACATGTGAGCAGCCAGCTGGAGGAGAACTCAAAGAGTAGCCGCAGCGTTCTCTGTCCAGACTGGCTACAGAGAAGAGAAATTTGTTTCAAATACATTCTGGTTTGTTTGCGAGTGGATGCATGCACACGCAGATAAGTATATATGGGCACCTAAGTTTATCCATGAGTCATCTTTACATGAAGATATTGATGTATGTTCACTTATTGACTTAATGGACTTTTTTGCCTACTGTGTATTTTTGCCTAAGTCAGCATCTCTTGAATGTAAAGTCCCAGGAGTTGGGGACTGGATCTATGACAAGGGAAGAGGGGTGAACAGTCATGAGTGAGTGTATCCCAACTATCCCCTAGCGTGAGAGGCACTCCCTCAAAGAGAGGGGAAGGGCGACTGCTGGGGAAGTGAAGGGATAATGACTTCATGTGAGCAGCAGAGAAGATAACCATGGAAGTCCCTTTACTCCCAGTGAGTCTATACTTGCATAGCTCCTTGGCAGGTTATGTCTGAGACTGTAGATAAGTGGCTATTTGAAGTGAATCACCCAAAGTTATTCCATGGATGTCCCTAATTTGGATAAAGAACCTGCCAGACTCGACCCATCCTGCTGTCCTTGCACACATGACCTATTTTCTAGCTATAAACTGCTTAACATTATCTGTTCCACGCATCTTGCATTACCTGCCTGCTTAGTCACGTTCTCTCTGGCTTCAGACAGTTGTAGGCCCCACCTCCTCTCAGCTGCCTATCCTTTTGTAGTCCCTCCTTCCCTTTTTCTTCCTGGAAGGATCTGGACTCACCAGATCCACAGGTCTTGGAGTATTTAAAAAGATCAGCATAGGGAATTTGGCTCATTTGAGATCTTTGGCGTTCACCTTGACTCTAGGGAAAGTCCAAAGCAAGTCCCCCTTTGGCCACCAACTAGGCAACATGAAGGCCTGGGTCTCCCTGACAGTGACCATGCTCTGCGGCCTGGCCTGGGCTGGTAAGTGTCTGATGGACAGAGGAGTGGGGTGGGTAGGGGTCTTGTCCAAAGAATAGAAGGCTTGGGGACCTGGCAGATGGTGAGTGCAGTGGGGCGAAGAAGGATGTGCTTTGTCTTAAAGCCGAAGAGTGCTTTTTCCTTGTCCTCTCAGGGTACAGAGGCTGCCCTGGAGCAGGCTGCACTGTGAGAAAGGAGGTATAGGGCTGGGGGCCTTGTTTCATGGAAGCCCTTTTTAACACTTCCCAACATCACTAGTCCCAAGGTCACTTGTCCAACCAGACTCTTGGTCTCATTAAAATTCTAGGTGGAGGCATGTGGTATAAAGTTGGGGCCTGTGGCCTGTGGCTTCCTTTCGTTGTCTGCTCCTCTGTTGTCTGGTACCTGGTGAGGTTGTCTTCTCTGGGTAAAGCCTTAGGAAATGGGCAAGCTCAGGAGGAAACCAGGAGGGTAGCAAGGCAGGCCACATGCTGTGTGGGCTATGCAAGTGGTCAGAGGAGTGGGTCTCTATCCCATGTATTAGGGAAACTAAAGAGCAGAGAAAGGACCTGGCTGAGAGTTGCAATAAGTGCAGGGGTTGGCGCTGGCAGAGGAAAGGAACATGTTCCTGTTCATTAACTGACAAGATTCGGATCTGCTGTGTTAATTAGTGGTGAGAGGGCAGGGAGAGGTGCTGAGGGAGAGGGCTGACTGAGCTGTGGGGTGTGGGCAGCATCCTCCTCTGCCCCAGGAGAAAGGGTCAACTTGGTGTCATTCCACCCACCTCACTTGTCCTTGCTACGAGGACTGCTATAAAGATCAAGTAAGACAATGCAGAACCACTGGGGTAGATGTGAGACCTCTGGAGCTCTGGAGCTTCAGGCAGGACCATGATTATAAATATTCCCAGCAAGAACTCACTCTTGAGGTCATTACCAATCAGGTTATGGATAAGGAGCTCCTTAGATGAATTCCTAAATGGAAAACTTGAAGGAAAAAGTTGTTCATAGGCCTGACACTGGCTAGAACCATGTACCTCTGCCTGAGCCCTGCTGGTCGAGACAGAGTGGAAGGGAGGGAGTTATGCACACCTTAGCCCATTGGTGTGGGGGGCAGAGCAGCTGGGGCCTGGCCTGGAAGGGTGGTGAGTGGCTTTGGGACAGCTCTACCTCAGCACGGATTGGGAGTTCTGGAGAGCTCCAGTCCCTGGGGGACCTTCCTCAGGAAAAGCAGCAGTGGCTTCAGAGGGTGAGTGGTTCCTGGCTTCAGGATGAGATTGGTGACCAGAACTGGCAGGGACAGGAAGGCAGGAAGGGAGGTGAAGCAGGAGGAAGTGGCTCTGCTCATGTATGCACCATCCCAACACCTAGATGCCAGACTGAGTCACATGGGGGCAGGCGTGACCAGCCTCAGGCCATCTTTTCTGAGCTGGCTACTGTGGAGACCCTAAGCAAGTGAACAGAGGTAGAAAGCTATTCCTGGGAATGAAACTTTGGTTGACTAGGCCTCTATAGAAACAGCGTCTTGGGTTCCCTGGGGGTACACATGTAGGACACTGAAACCATCAGAGGGGCTGAAGGCTGGCATACAGGACCCTATATCCACCCATGCTTGGAACTAGGCTCTGAGTTTAGTACAGACAGACAGCAGAGTTTTCGAAATATTAAAGTCTTGGTGGGTACAGAGAAATTTAGCATTCTGGGGTGGGGGGACAGAGCTTTTCACAGGGAATGGTGGGAAAATTTGAGACCCAGAGAAAAAAAACAAAAATGAAGCCAAGCAGAAAGAGAGGCTGAGAGAACAGGAGGCAGAGGGACAAGAGGCGGAAGGCTGCCGGGACAGTGACCAGGCACCTGGCATGGTGAGTGAGGCTCACAGGGAGCTTTGTGTCCACTTGAGATGCAGGAGGGGGCTCTGGAGCTGGCAGTGATTCATCATCTGAGTGTTCCCAAAACGGTACAGCGGGCATCTAGGAGGAGGACGAGTCCTGCCCTCCACCCTTCTGTTCCAAGGTCACCTTGAGGCAGGCCAAGTTCACAGAGAAATGGAGGACCCCTTGGTATCCTTACTGGAGACAAAGCTCCTGAATACAGATGACAAAGTCCATGAGCTGGGGCCACTGGGGCCATGTCCTCCTGAGCTATACGGCAGTCTGTTCGCTGTGGCCCATCTCAGTGGAGGCCAGTGCTGGAATGGAATGAACCCCTGCCTGGGACTCTGCTGGTCTGGCCCATTAAAAACACTGCCCTGATTCATCTGCATTTCTCTTCTTGGATTCTGGGTGTACTGCCAGTCTGGCCTGAACCTTTCTCTCGAAGACCTCCACATTCAGGTGCCAAGATAGCATCGCTTAAAATTCCAGACAAGTTCCCTTGGGCCTGAAGGGACAAGTAGCTTCAGGTTTGGTCTCTTTTAGAAGAAATGTACTGGAAAAGCATCCTGTTTTTCTGGGTGCCTTGGGGTTTTCTGGGGGCTGCCCACGTGGACTTGCCTCAGAGTTGGCCTGACATTGCTTTGATGTAAGGAGTAGGGACTCACCGTGATGACACCAGCCAGGATACCATCACCCACTTACCTGTGCTATTCACCTGGCTCACAGGATGGAGGATAAGTGTGTGGGTGGGGTCCCTGCCAGCACATTGTCCCAGCAGGTCTAAACACTTGCCACCTGAACTGGGCATGGATGATCACTGCTGTTTATTTACATAACAAATGCCTACCTGACTTTCCTATGTGTCACACACAGTGCTAAATATTAACTCATTTAACCCTGATAAATATTCTGTGAAATAGGCTCCAACATTTTCCTACTTTTCCAGATAAAGAGGCAAAGGCACAATACCTTACCCCAAATCACACAGTTAAAAAGCAACAGAACCAGAATTTCAACCCCACACAGTTGGGTGTTTGAGTTCAGGTTCTTAGCCTGTCTGCTATGCCATCTGTCCTTAGACACCAAGAAGTGTGAGGACCTGATCCTAGAATCTGTACCAATTGCTAAGCCTCCAGCCTCAATACACAACTCTGGCCCACTCCTCATATGCTAGATCGACATCACAGACCTGTGTTGAATCAGTGTCAGAACCAAGCTCCAAATCCAGTCTAAGACAAAAGTGGAGTTACTTCTCTTCTTCGCAGACTGGTATACTCCTAAACCCTAAATGTCATCTTCGCCCAAATCTCATTCCTTAACCAAAGGTCAGCACAAAATTATTACTTGATCAATGAGTTTGGTGAAAGCCCCCACCCTAACTAGCTGTCACCCTGGTCCAAGTTAGGTTTCTGTTTCCTCAGTGATCGCATTCTGATGCTCACAGTCATGCTGCCTCTGACCTTGGCATTCTGTGCCACCCTCTGCCTGACCGTAAACCCAGCATTCTCAGCATCCTCAGACCTCAGGAACCTCAAATGGAAACAAAGACATTGTTATCGCCCTCACAGCCCGGAGCAGAAGGAAATGGGCCTCTGGCCCGTGCCCTGCACTCTTTGCTGTGGTGGACATGGCAGGGCTTGTCTTTTTTCCCCGGAGTGGCAGTGGGTTTGCACTGTTCCCTTCAAAACGTCTTGTCTTTTGCCTCTGTGACCAAAAGTTTGCTTCTGCAAACCATTTGGTTGGATCTGTGGTTACAGAACAGAATGCTGTCCCAAAGCCCAATCCTCACCCACACCGCCTCCTTCCCCTCCCTAAGCATTAACTCCTCTGAATGCATTCTGAAGACTGGGAGGAGCAGAAAGATGTGACACAGGGGTGATAGTGGGTGCAGAGAAGATGGGAGACAGGAGGAAGAAAAGAGCAGCAGAGAGCATGAAGCGGGGATGTGAGCAGGGCATGGAGCAGCAGTGACTTCCCTACGTGACATGTGGACGGAGGCCTGCAGGCCACATCCAGTTCACAGACGTTTTTCTTTGCCTGCATGTAGTTTTAAAAACTGGAGAGACCTGGGGGTTTAGCTCAGAGGCCTAAGTGCCTGCCAGGCAAGTGCAAGGCGGTGAGTTCAATTCCTGGTGAAAAAAAAAAAAAAAAAAACTGGGGAAATTTCACCTAACAACGAAGGTTTCTCTTGAAAAACTGGAGGCTCTAGCCAGAACAAACAACACTGGGTTGGAGCTGAGAAGCGGATTTCAGACAGTGTGGCTCTCAAGTTGGTCACAGACGCCACTCCTCCCTATGGACTCTCACCCTGCTTCTTTGTTCATTGTGTCACAGGCCTGACTCAAACAAGCATTGAGCCTGAGACCCTGGGTTCTAGGAGCCCTGGGGTACCTGATGAGTGGGGGAAGAGCTAGAGGGTAGCAAGTTGCCTTTGTGGGTAGCAATGACCTTTACTGCTGGGGGCCCTGCCTGAGTCTGGGAACCCACCCACAGTGGCACATTTATGTGGATCCTAGAATCCCCGAAGGCTGAGTCTTTAACTGTTACACCTGTAGGAAACATGGAATCATGTGCATCTCGCTGTGATGAGGAGTTTGACCGTGACGCCATCTGCCAGTGTGACCACAAGTGTCTCATGCACGGGGACTGCTGCGACGATTACGAACAGCTGTGCATGGGTGAGGCTCAGGGGATGAAGACATAGTGGGGTCAGGATTTGGCCACCACTTGTCTTGGGTTTCTTTGGAAGTTGATTTAAACTATAGTAGATGCCATTTACCTGGGATATCTGTCTTGATGACTTGATTAATTTAAGTAACTGATGCCCAAAAAAGAATGAAGTAAGAAAAGAAATAGCATTCAGGATGTGTGACAGTACCAATTGTTATCCAACACTTTAAGTCACAAAATATGAAAATGGCAGTGAGCTCTCACAAGCCACCAGAAAGACGGTGTGGTGCCCTTGTGACTGCCACCATGCATGCCACATTCCTCCAGAAAGTGCAGAGCAGCCAGTCTCCAAACTGTCATTTCCAGACAGTTTCTGTTACAGTGAGACATCTGCCACCCTGGAAGGCCAATTGTTCCTCCACCATTCATATGAAAAAGCTTCACATGAATAAGTTTGGAAAACTCATCTTTGAATAGTCTCCCTGTTTGGGTGCTTCCAAAGCTGCCGACTCCCAGGTAAAGAATCTGCTTTGTAACATGGAGCCTGCTAGGTTCACCCTTAAGCCATGTGCCCTGACTCCTAATTTGGAAAATACAGTCACTGAAGCTTTGGAAGGTATTAGCCAGCAGGGCCAACCCTCCCCACCCCCATGCCTAGTTGCATGAGCTGTGTACTGTACAAGGGTCTCTGGCTGAACAGGCAAGCTGGACCACCCCCTGGTGTGTATCTTTCTTACCAAGTTGTGTGCCCTGGTGCAGATCCGTGTTTGCTGAAAGGAATACATTTCCTTAATGTGTCCAAAGGTGGCATCTGCTGGCCTAGCCATGTGCTCAGTCTACACAAGAACACACATAGGATAGCAGACATCCTGATGTCCAGGCCTAGGCAGGGAAACCCAGTCCCAGGGCCCCTGGCTGGAATCAGTGCCCACCACCGCCTGCCTGCTCTGTGCTCTCTCTTTTCTTACCATTCAGTAGATGCAGGGAGGACTACTCTCTTCAGACCATAGCACTGGCATCTTGAGATTGACACGATGCCCAGTTTAGGAGCTATTTCATCTCTGAGTTTATGATTTTCAAGTCAGAACCTCCTTCCCATGAGGAAGAATATCATTGTACACCATGGCTGGAACTCTAACACAGCTCACAAAAGTCCATGTAGCATAAAATGTGGCTGAATTAAGAAACATGGATTTACTAACACTTAGAACACAGCCAGGCACAAAGGAAGCGACCAGGACATGTTTGTTGACTAAATATGTTACTTGACCAGTGGTTCTGATGGTAATAACACAGCACCACCCAGCAAAATCACTAACAGAGTCAGAATCTCTCTGTAAGAGTGCTGTGTATTTGGTTGCCTTGTCAGGCCCTCCTTGGAAAGTCTGTGGTGATTTCAAAGGGGGGAAGAAAACAAAAAAACAAAACAAAACAGAAGTGTGAAGTTGGTAGCTCAGGAAAGTTTTTATCACTGAGGCCTGAGAATCCTCCTGATCCTGACTGGAAAAACAACAGAAACGAGATGTTCCTAGGTGAGGGCCTCCTCATTTGGACACCATCTGCCAGCCTGGGGTGAAGGAAGTCATAACCCAAACTCTATCATAGTTTTCCATCCGGAAGGGACCACTCCCCACCGCCTCTCGCTTCAACAGAAGAGCGCCCCACTATGAGAATGCTGAAGTGTAGGAAATTTGTCACCTGGGGAAATTCTTTTCGTTACTGGAAATGCCTTCCATTTTCAGTTTCTATCCTATTTTGGGCATGTGTGTGGGCTTTCCCTTGAACCTCAGGCCTTGTTTATTACCTGCTTACAGTGCCTGTGATTTTCCCGGGCCGTGCTGAGGACAGGACAGAGAGGGAGGGACATCCTTGGGCATGACTTGAGACTTTATTTTTCTGCTGCAGCGGAAGAGGCGCCCGCCCAGCCGGAGTCATTCCCGGAAGTGGAGGAAGAGCCGCTGGCCCACAGTGAGCCTGCCCCAAGAGGGGAGCCTTTGGGACACAGGAGGGACCCCAGGGGTGGCAGGGGAGCGGGTGCCGAAGCCCGAAGAGGTGGCAGCTTGGCGCCCGAGCTGCAAGCTGCGGAGACAGAGGCGCGCAGTGGGAGACCCGGGAGGGGCCGAGCGGGAAAGGGTCTGAGGCCCGGGGAGGGAAGTGGAAGAGATTTTATTTTTAGAGTGCGGAGATTACTAAAACAACAGGGCAGAAAGCACAGTTAGGCATCAGCAAAGACTTCCTGCAGGTGCCGAGTGTGCAGGAACTCAGCTTTGTTTGTGTTCCTTCCCCGGAGACCTCGAGTAGCAGGGACCGGTGTGCGGCGCGCCCCCTAGCGGCCCGCCTGGAACTCACTCCCTCTGCCCTCTCAGGCTTGTACTCGGCGCCCAGCTCCTGCCAGGGCCGCTGCCGCGAAGCCTTCGACAAGCATCATGTCTGCCACTGTAATGACCGCTGTCAGGAGTTTGGGAACTGCTGCGAGGATTTCGAGAGCCTGTGTGGCGATCACGGTCAGTCAGCTTCTTTTGCTTGGTCCCAGAGACAAGGGACTCTAGACCTGTGGTTGTCAAAATGTGGTCCCTGGACTAGCCTCACACTGGCATGGTCTGAGAATGTCAGAAGTACAAACTCTAGAGCTTCACCCAGGTCCTGCTGGTCAGGAACTGTGTTTGAACGGACCCTGCAAGTGATTCTGGTGCCTAGTTCATCTTGGGAACCTTCCCAGAAGAGAGGGGCAGTGTGGACATGCTCTGGACATTCATGACCATGCCACATACTGGTGTTAAGGGTCCTAGAGGCCCCTGCCATCCCACCGTCAGGTGTCTGATATCTGCCCCTCTCCCTCCTGGGGGCTTCTCCAAGGTGCCCCGGGGATGCCACGACTTTCCTCTGACTCTGAGACTAACCCTACCCCAATTCCTCCCAGGGGGCTTCTCCCACAGCAGAGACACCATAACCAAAGAAGAGCTGCATGGTATCTCTGAGAAGATCTACAAAGTGGACACCAACAAAGCCCAGAAGGAAGACATTGTTCTTAACCCGCAAAACTGCATTCCCCCATCAGAGACCAGAGACCAAGTAGACCGCTGCCCAGAGCTGTGAGTCTCCTGTTCCCTTTCCTGCTCACCCACTTTTGCTTCTTGTGATACCTCAGCATCAAGTCAGGCAGGATCAAAAGGAGAGGGAAAAACAGCTCTTCAGAGACAAAGAAACCACTTTGAGGGGTTGTGGACACCCTGTTAGAGGGTTTTAATGATTGACCAGGCTGAGGATTGGGCTGATCTAAGAGATGAGGTGGAAGCAAAGTGGCCTCATGCCAAGCCACCCAGAGCCCCTGAACTCTGGCTCACAACCTTTGAGTGTCACTTGGGCTGTCTGGAAGTTTCTGGAAGGGTTTCTGCTGCACGTTCAGGCCTCTTAGTGCATACCGCTCCACTTGCCCCAGGCTCTTCACCTATGTCAACGAGAAGCTGTTCTCCAAGCCCACTTATGCGGCCTTCATCAAGCTGCTCAACAACTACCAGCGGGCTACAGGCCACAGTGAGCACTTCAGCACCCAGCAGCTGGCTGAGCAGGACGACTTCCTTAGAGAGATCATGAAGACAGCAGTCATGAAAGAACTCTATGGCTTCCTGCATCACCAGAGTGAGTGAGCTGTTCCCAGGCTCTGTGGGGCAGAGCCAAGGATACAGGTCTGTCTTCAGGACAGCAAGGTTCCCATGATGGCTCCTCAGTGAGGAAGTGGGAGAGCTGGCCAGGAAGCTGCGAGCATCTCCTGGAGGCACTTGTGGGAGGGATCAGAGACAAGGAGTTGCATGTCTGGGAGGGATCAGAAACAAGCCCAAAGCCACCAAGAGATTAGGAACACCACCAGGGCCGGAGAATCTTCTGGCTGGCTGGCTTTAAAGTCATCCCAACTGTTGACTGTCAGCTTCACCGTGGATTCTCCCACTGTCTTCTTTAGTCTCAGGGTCCCATACCAGGCACGAGCCTCCCCTACTTCCATTCCCCTCCCACCCCAGGGCACTCTCTCCCACTTCTGCTGATCCCAGCATCATAACACATATCAGGCAAGTAAAGGTCCTGACTCTCCTCCCTCTTCCTGTACCAAGTTCAGGAGAGCTTGGCACCACTATGCTTGTCCTGGAGAACAGCCACTGAAACCAGCAGAGGCTCCAGGAGGATGGTCCTACCGGGAAGAGCTCTGGCTGGAACACCTCCAGATCCAGATCCATGCAGGTCAGACCGAAAAAGAGTTTGGCTGCAGGACTTTTTGGCTCAGGGTTGTGTTTTGTAGTGCCCTCCAGATTCCTTCCCCCAACTGCAGGCAGCTGGGTCCTGTCCCCCAGGGCAGCTCTGTCCCAATGCTCCCAGCAGGCCACAGGGTTACCTCTGCCTCTGCCCAGTGCTGCTGTGTCCCATTTGTGGGCCTCCACAGACAATTGGTAACTCTGTTTTTGTTTTTAGAGGTTTTTAGGGGTGCAGGGATCTAGCATTTACCCAGTAAATGCTAAGTGCACGCTGCCCCCTGGTGTCCGCTCTGTGCTCAACAGTGGACTTCTCAGTGAGAGTCATGGAAGCCCAGCCAGGCTGGGCAGATGGAGACCATAAAGGAGTTTGAAGCAGAGCCGCAGCTGGAACCCTGGGTTCCAATGCCAAGAAAGCCTGTCCCATTTCTCACCCTCCCTTCTCCTTTCTCCTGTCCATGTTGCACTCATCCTTTAAATCTCAGATTCACCACATTTATCAAGACTGTGACCACCTCAACTCGTTGTGGCTTTCAGCATTTCTCCTGGGGGTGAGAGACTAGATTTTGGCCGATAATCTTGGGCCAGAGAGACGGTTTGGCTCTTGCTCCTGAAACTTATTGGTGGTGCAACCTTAGTGTTTTGGTTTCTTTTTCTTTTTTTTTCTTCCTTTTTTCTTTCTTTCTTTCTCTTTCTTTCTCTCTTTCTTTTTCTTTGTGCTAGGATTTGAACTCAAGACCTCATGCTTGCCAGGCAGGAATTGTACTGCCGAGCTACATTCCTGGCCCTTCCTTTGCTTTCAATGTGCTCTCCAAAGTTTTGGATGTTGGAAACCTAAACCCGAATATTACATGCCAACGGTATTTGGAGCTGAGACCTTGAGGAGGTAGAGTCATGAGACATTTGCTTTTATAAGTATATTAAATTTTGCATGGATTAATGGGTTTTCAAAGGAACAGCTTCATTATGAAAGGGAGTTCTCTTTGACATACTTGTTCTGTCTCTCTGTGTAACATCCTCCACTGTGTTGTGATACAGTAAGAAGACCTCTACCAAGTGCTAGCATTTTGATACTAGATTTCCCAGACTCCAGAACTGTAAGCTAATTAGACCTCTAGTCTTTATAGACTACCAGGTCTCAGGTATTTTGATATAGTAACAGAAAGCAGACTAAGACACCTAAGCAAGTTATTTTACCTCTCTGGAATAAGGTGTTGGAGGATTCATGTTTGCAAAGCATGCCTTAGAAAGCTGGCATGCAGTCAATGCTAATAAGGGTAGCTATTCAGTTTGTGAGTGGTTATATATTGTATATAATGCATATTATGTCTTTTTTTATGTCCCTGAAAGAAAAGAATAAGAGGTGTGATCAAAAATAGTGAATGTTTAAATTTTAAAAAACTTTTGCCATAAAAGACACATTTTCATTAATTTCCCTTAAAATACTCCTCACTTAGGACGTACGTGCTTATCGTTCTTGCCACTTTCTGAAGCAGTTCTGAGCGTCCTTTTTTGTGAATGCTATCTCCATGTCCTGAATTGATTCAAAATGTTCACCTTGGGCCAGGGATTAGCTTAGCCGTGTAGCGCCTGCCTGGCAAGCACAAAGCCTTGAGTTTGATTCCCAGTACTCTCCCTCCCCGTGGTACCCTCCCTCCCCGTGTTTACCTTTCTTGGTCATTTTGACGTTGGGGAAGAACCAGTAGTTGACGGATGGCAGATCCAGCACACATGAATGAGGCCAAAGCGTACTGTTTTTCCAAGCCTGTTCTCTATTAGATGATAGCCGGCAGCAATATTTATTGCATTTTTTAAATACACTTCTTAAAGATGCTAGTGAAAGAGGAGTTCCAGAAGTGCTTCAGAAAGCAACAAGAATGATGAGATTCGTGTGTGCAAAGTGTGGGAGTATTTTGAGGGAGATGAATGGCAATGTGTCTTTTCCTGTAATATTTTTTAAAGCAATTTAGCACACTGTATTTTTATATTTCAGTTATCTTTTGGATCTGCGACACATAATTATGACCAGTAAACAATATTACTCTGATTGAAACCTTCAGCCCTGACCTTTCCTTTTGATCCCAAATGCCTATTAAGCATCTCCACTTGCTGTCTAACCAAAACTTAGTGTGAAGAGACCTGCCTCTTCATCCAGACCTGTGCCTCCCTAGGTCTTCCCCTCTCATGAATGAGATGGCGGACTTCATCCAGCTGGTCAGGCCAGAACTCAGGAGTCAGACTTGCTTCTTTTCTTTACCTCACTGGTCCCTACCCGTGTCTCCTTTATCAGTAATGACCATGAATCCCACCTTCATAATTTCATCCCATCCCTGCCTGCTCTTCGGCTCCGCTAGGGCAGGACACCGCCAGCTTCTTACCTGGACACAACTTTGATCTCAGAACTGGCCCCTGTGCCCCTTCTCATGCGCCCTGATTGACCTTTTTCATACCAGTCATATGGCCCTTCAAAAAGCAAAGCTCCTCCAGTTCCCTTGCTTACAACCCTTGGGATTTCTCTAACCCAAAAACGTGTCAAGTTGTAAAGAGGCTGGTCTGCGAGACTGTGCGGGTTCAAGAGCCGTCATGTATGAGTTTCATCGTCTTTGCCTCGATTTGGTCAGCTCTCTATTGGAAATAATTAATACCAACCTTACGTGAAGATTCTGTCTGTGCTGACATGAGAGAAGACTACAGGCCAGGAAACGTACAGCAAGTGTAGAATTGTTGCCTCACGGTTCTGGAGACTGGGAAGTCCAAGCTGAGGGCTGGAGTCTGGTGAGGGCTTTGTTGCTGTGTCAACCCCTAGTGAAGGCAAGGGGCAGCCAAGTGGATGAGAGGCAAAGGGGCCCGGACTCATCCTTTTGAATGAAACCATCCTCTTGGTAAGGAGTCCTTCTCATGAAAAGGGCATTATTCCATTCATAAGGGAACTGGCTTGCTGGTTTAATAACAACCTTGGAAAGTCCCACCTCTTAATCCTGTAACATCTGGGTATTAAGCTTCTAACATGTATGTTCTGGGAAACACATTCAAAGTAAAGCACTGCTTAACTCCATCCCCATCTCCAATCTTTACAGGTTACTCTGCTTCATTGTCTTTTTTTTTCTTTATTGTCTTGTTAGCACTTATCCAGATTATCCATTTAGTGTTTCCTTATTTGTTTTTATTTATTTATTTATTTTTTTGAGGCAGGATCTCGCTATATACTTCAGACTGGCCTGAACTCATTGTGTGGTACAGGTTGGCCTCAAATTTGTGGTGATCCTCCTGCCTCAGCCTCCAGAGTACCAGCAGGAGATGTGCACCACCTCCCCTGGCATGTTTCCTTGTTTATTTATTTCTTCCCTGGAATGTAAACTATTTTGTTTTGGTTTTTTGAGACAGCATGTTACTATGCAGTTAAGGCTGGCTTTGAACTCACTTTGTAGCTCAGGCTGGCTTCAAACTTACAGTGATCTTCCCGCATCAGCCTCCTGAATGCTGGAATTACAGGCATGAGTCACTATGCCTGGCTTCCAGGAATGCAGACTCTGAATATAGAGACCCTGTCCTTAATTTTCTCTGCTAGAGCCTTGGTCTCTCCAGCTGTGGCATGAGCAGTTGAACATGTGTGTTGATGGAACTCACGCTTTTCTAGACATGCTGCTTCTGGGACCTGGCCCCACTTCCCCTCTTGAAAGTCCTGTGTTTCTCTCTCCAGACCGCTACAGCTCTGAACAAGAGTTCACTGATGACTTGAAGAACATGTGGTTTGGACTCTATTCACGAGGCAATGGAGAGGTGGACTCGAGTGGCTTTGAACATGTCTTCTCAGGTGGGATCCTGTGGCTTGGAAAGGAAGCTCTGGAGGGACGAAGAGGATCAGCTGAGGGCAGGATCAGCTGGCCACTGGAATCAGCAGCCAAGCCAGCTGGCCAGGAGGGACACATCCCCTCCCAGGCCTGGGGGAGGGCCTGAGATTCCATTTTGAATGACATTCTTGCTAGACTATCAAAGAGGGAAAGGAGACTGGACACTGACTCCACGGGAGTACATCTAGGCCCCTCCGAGCAGCCCTCTGCTTCCAGGGCTTGGTCACCTGCTTCACAAGAGGGCCATAGTCTTCCCCTCACAAGGCAGAGTCTTCCGCTCTGCCTTGTAAAGCTCTCACCAAGCCTGGCTCGCTCCTGAAGAAACAGTCAAGGGGAGTATCCCAGAGTGGCCCTGGGGTCAGCTGGGAGGAGGAATTCTCCCAAGAACTTTAGTTGAAAAGAAGATAATAGGATGGGAGAGGCCCTAGGAGGCAGACCAGGGGCTAAGTAGGGGCACATTCTAGAAATCAGAGCTGGGAGAAGGGCAACTACTTTGGGTGAGATGGGAGAAAGGGCACCCATAGGGTGGGGTAGGAGGCCAGATCACCTACCGTGGACTCTTTACTATAGGTGAAGTCAAAAAGGGCAAGGTCACCGGCTTCCATAACTGGATCCGCTTCTATCTGCAGGAGAAGGAGGGCTTGGTTGACTACTACAGTCACATCTATGATGGGCCTGTGAGTACCACTGCTGGGAAAGCCTTCGTGGCACTAGACTTCCTGCCCTCACTACGCCCTGACACTTGGGCTGCTCCTAGTCCAGTTCTCCTTGGCAGCCCAGTGGGGCTGTGACGCTAATGTCCTTGTCTGCTGGAGAGCAGGGCTACCCAGCCAGGAAGTACAACTTTGTTCCAGACAGCAAGGGCTCTAGACTTGCAGGGGACAGGCGGTAGATGTCACTGTATTGGGTAGAGGCCAGGGCAGGGTGACATTCTCAAGAGGGGAGAACCAAAGGCATGTAGTCACCCCTGGCCTGAGTGTCCTTTGAATGTGGCTGGAAGTTTGAGCTTCGCTAGTTTGAGCTATACCCCATACATTTAATAAGACATAAACCTTTGCTATCCCGTACCCTGAAATAATTTGGGAACAACAAACTGTCCCCTTCTACACATGATGCTCACAGGGGACAGTTGTGTCCCTGCTACTCTGGGGTGGGTTGTGTGCATGCTGCCTCTGACCTCCTTGGTACTGGCAGAAGGTTTGCAGAGGATTCCGGCATCTCTGTCTAAAGAAGCCAGTCTCTGGAAGGCCCTTACAACCCTCCACAAACCCTGGCCCACTGTTGGTATTTGACAGCTGTCAACTCCACTCTGTAGCCTTCACCCGACCCTGTGCTGTCTCCCTCTCTGCAGTGGGATTCCTATCCTGATGTGCTAGCAATGCAATTCAACTGGGATGGCTATTATAAGGAAGTGGGCTCAGCTTTCATCGGCAGCAGCCCCGAGTTCGAGTTTGCACTCTACTCCCTCTGCTTCATCGCCAGACCAGGCAAAACGTGAGTATCAGGCTGGCCCCAGTCCCGGCACAGATGAGGACACAGCCTGGCTGCAGCCCAGAAAGCACTGGGAGATCTGCAGCCTGCTACTCAGCAGCTGCCTGAACCACTGTGTGGGGCCTCAGTGTCATCTGCTGACAATGAAGTTGGGTTACAATAACTGCCAAACTTTGTCCTAGCAGTGACATTATCTTCCTTCCTTCCCCACAAGTGAAGTCTTATGCAGGAAAAAGAAATGGAGTTGTTTGTGGGCTCTAACCCTCTTCCTTTTGTCTCTGAGGTTTTGAGAGAACCTTGGAGTCCTCAAGAGCTGGTAACATTGGGCCCTCATGTTCTCTGTTTGTGAGAGACTTTGGGTCCTACTAGTTCAGAAACACTGAAGCTATGGACCCTGGAAAGTTAGAGAAGGATGAGGAGTGTTCATTAAGAAGGCAGATAATAAGTTCTAGATTTTGGGGGGCTTCCTGCACATGCAGAGAGGGAGTAGTGCCTTCAGGAATCAGTGGTGGCTGTCTTAGAGGATGATGCCGTTTTGCAGGGCTTGGCTGAATCTTCCAGCCTGGAGACGGAGGCCAGGAGAATGGTGCCTCCTGTGATTTCATGATTTTTTCCCTGCAGGTGTCATTTAAGCCTGGGTGGCTATCCCTTGTCCATCCAGACCTACACCTGGGACAAGACTACCTATGGAAATGGCAAGAAGTACATCGCCACGGCCTACATTGTGTCTTCCACCCAGTAGACCTTTAAGCCAGACAGGGCAGCAAGGGCTCTTGCAGGACTGAGATCCTACCTGCTTTGGGCTGGAGAGGAAAGTGAGGAGACTGAGAGGAAATTCCCAATCCTAAATCAGTGAAAGGGATTTCTGAGGCCAAAAATACATGGGAAAAAGAAAAGGTACAAATTAGGAAAATGCAGACAAATGAACTTTTATCCTCCAGTATTTTAGCCACATGGACTGAAAATTAGAATCCAGACAGAAGGTGGGAGCCGTTGGTAGCTGTTTGCACTCATGCGTGGTGGTGCCATGAACAAGTCCTTTGACCTCACTGGGCCTTGTGCTTCCTTCCCTTGCGTGTACAGTGAAGGAATCCGCCCTCTTTCCTGATTTGGGGATTGGTAAGAGGGCAAACCTGATATTCTTACTGTGAAAGTGTCTCCAATTGTTCTTAGGAAGAACTCAAGATTACTATAATGGCTGTAATTGTACACAGCTCTGCAAACTGCAATTCAGCCCTATGTCAGGGGCCTCAAAGAAGTCAGACCACAGAAGCCAAGAAGTGGGTCTTTGGTCTCTTCTGGAGTTAGGTCCTCTCGGAAGAGAGTCTGGAAAGAGTCCACACAGGTGGGAGCAGGGTGATGGTTGGGGCAGTGAGTAGGCTGGGGCAGGGTGGCCTTCTCTAGGCTCTGAGTACTTCCATGGCCAGTTTAGGGTCTGGATCCAGAAGCTTCCAATTTGTAATAAAAAGACTGTTTTGATCCCAAATTGGTTTTGAAAGAATTCTCCTTATAAGAAGGTTTAGTACCAGAAGCAGAAGGGAACCTATAGCTTGGTGTCAATGAATATAATATACATTAAGGCTTATCTAGCTGTTGTAATTGGAATCACTCTAGGATTTACTCCAGGCTCCCTGTCTCAACCTCAATGATGCAGTTTTTTTCTCTGAGCCCCACTTGGCACCATATGCCGCCCCACAGAGCCAGGCTTGCATCTTAGAGGGGTCGGATCTCCAATTAAAGTCATGTAAGGAAACTTGAAATGGATCTCTTCTTTGTATGTGGTCCCTTGACTGTCGGTCTTCCTGGTTTTTCCCCAGAGCAGGGCTAGGAGTGGTACTGCTCCCTTCAAATCTTTGCAGGATGGCTTAGGTAACGTGAAGTCTGGATGAAGTCCCTGATGACTCACCAGCACTTTCTGGCCAAGGTATGGAGGAAGTTCTTTACCAGAAGACCTGTAGTGTGAAGTGTGGATGGAGCATTGCACACAGACGATGGGGAGGTGAAGGGAGACCTCAGCTCTAGTAACCAATCCCTTGATCGTGTATGTGAGCAGCAGAAAGATGCCCTGGATCCTTCAGAGGTCAACTGAACCAAGGGTACGGGAGATGTTACAGAGGCCTCTCACCTGCCTACAGATTATTTAGGCCACAGTACTATGAAGATGCCAGCAAGAAGGGATATCTGTGGTACGTCAGAGTGCAGATGGATGAAACAGGCCTGTCCTGCCCTTCCCCAAGGGTATCCACCATCTAGAAGGGAACACAGGGAGTCAGCATTATGCATTGGTCAAGGTACAGGTTCTGAAATCAAAGTGCCCAGGTACTCACCCAGACTTTGTCTTTTGCTGGTTGTGCAGGTGAATTTATCATTCATTAGTAAGATAGGGATGTTACCAGCATTGTGAGACAAAGAATGCAAAATAATATACTTGCATTCTTTTCATCATTATTTATTTCACTTATGTGAAATTTTTCATTTTTCATTAAAGAGGCAATTTACCTTCCTTGCGATCAGCCTTAAATTTCATCTACTAGAGCTCAGACCTTGTGACTCTTACAGAATTCTTCAAATGTCTTCCAGGCAGACAAGTGAGAGACAGAGCCAGAAATGCAGGATAAGTTACTGTATCCCAGGCCTCAGCTTTGCAGGAGGGACTGATAGGAATTACATTTACTAAACTCTTACCACTCTCAGATGTGTTAAATAGTCCTTTAATATGCATTACCTTGAGGTAGAGTAGAAGAAATATAAGATAGGTAGAAAGGAGACAAGCAAATCATAACCATAAAATTTTGTGTTTTTAAGAAGACTACAGCTTTCAGGAACCAATCAAAACTACCCAAGGTAATTAATATCCACATTCCTTTGGGTAAAATTTAGAATCCTTCCCTATCAAATGCATCATGCCAAAAATTCCTTAGGAATATTGAAAGTTCTTAAATTGCCTTAATTGAAAAAAGTAAGGAACAGGAACCTGATCCCAAGATAAAAGATCAGGTTGAGCAAACCTAAAGAATGTTCAGATTACCTATTGAAAAGAAAACCAACATCTGTAAAATGGGCTAACATCCTTCTAATGGGAGGTGGGCCACCTTTTCCTGGGCTTTTCTATCCTTTCATGAAAGTATAAATATTCCCAGTTCCAAACTGTAGTGTGCTTCCTTTCTTTCCTAACTCCATTCTTGAGAGGGTCCTAAAATCTCTGTCTACTAAACCCTTCTCTTGCCTCTTACCAATATGTCCTGAAAATTCTTTTTCTGTGACAGGAGTCAGCGAACCTGCTACAGAAAGGAAATTAAGTTTCTTATTTCAGCCTCAAGGACTCTCAGATCTAAACAGTGATCTTTTTCCTTGGCAAGATAGCCAGGTGGGAAAAATAAGCATCTAGCGGGTGACTTTAGTAAGTCCAGTGAGAACACTTTTTATTTATTTATTTAGGTTTTTTTTTTCCCTTTTTATTTTTTCTTCCCCACTTCTCATCCTACTCCTCTTCCACTAAAGTATATTTTCCCAAACTTTTATCACTGAAGCATAGTTTATCTTTTTCACTCTCCAAACAAAACAAAAATGTTTCTTTCTTTCTACAAATTTTTGCATCTTAGGGTTTTTTCCTTTCTAGAGTTTGGAGACTCATACGCCTCTAGAAAAGGAATGCTTGAACATAAAAGCACTGAAGACAAGAGGTACTTGCTCTTTCAAATCAAGACTGGAAAGAGATGTCAAGAACTCTCTGGCTGGATTGAAAAGAAAAATTGTTAGAAGACAATGAGGAAAGAATTAGTGATCACTGAGCTGTCTGCTTGATGGAAGAGAAAAAATAACTATTATGTTGGGGATGTGGAAGCTGAATATGAGGAGTAGGTCAGACTTCCGTGCTTCTTGTGGAGGACAAAGCATGGCAAAGAGTGAGGTTCGATAAATTATTGAGAGCCTGAATTTAATAGCCTCAGCTATTAAAAATGGACGCTTCAGTACAGATGCCATGCAATCTGTAATGAATTAGGGTCATTAGTGACTTGACTTATCTGCACTCAGAGCAGTACTGGAGTTTGCTTTCTCAAGAGAAGCCTCAGGTCTTCCAGAGGTTCTTAGGAATAGCTTTCTTCTTAGTCCTGTGAAAATTCTAGTCACTATTTCCAGTGTAGGGTGTTTATACCAAGTTTTTATAATGACATCAGGGGTGTCCAAGAGCATGGCCTGGTCATTCCCCTGTTCCTTCCAAGTGACCTTTTGTCTCCAGAATAGCCCTGATCTGATGGGCAGTTAGGACTTCGAGTTTGTGTCCTAAAGTTAATTTTGCAGCTTCCTCTATTAGTATAGCTGTAGTTGCAACTGCTGTCAGGCAGAAGTGGCCATCCAGGAGCCACACCATGTAATTTTCTTGAAAAATATGCCACTCTGTGAAGTTCTTGTCCTAGATGTTGGGTTAAGACATCCAAAGCAATTCCCCTCCTTTCCAATATGTAGAGAAATAAGGGTTTTCTTGAGTAATGTATTCCAGTGCTGGAGCCTGGATAAGGACATGGTTTATTTCTCTAAAGGCATTTTCAGTCACTTTTGTCCATTCTTGGGGCACAGACTTAGGGGCTTTGACAGCCTCATATAAAGGCTTTGCCAGTAGTCCAAAATTATGTATCCAGATCTGCCAGATGCTGGCCATTCGCAAGGAGGAATGAAGATGATGTTTGGTGGCAGGAAGCCCAATATCACAGATGGCCTGGATCTGATCTGTAGACAGCTATTATTCCCCAAGTATAAGAACATATCCCAAATACTGAACCTTTTGGAGGGATATCTGTGCCTTTTCTTTGGAAACTTTATATCTCATCTTAGCTAGAAAGTTGAGAATTTGTATAATATTATGGTTGAGAGATTGTGTAGTATTATGATTGGATAACACCCAACTTGGGCTGCAAACTAGAATATCATCTACATATTGTTGGATGTTTCCCTGCTTAAGCACTAGGTTCTGTAAGTCTCTTGTGCCCAAGCAAGAAGGTGAGGATTGTCTCTAAATCTCTGTGTGAGAACTGTCCAAGTATACTGCTGCTTTTCTTTTGAAATCAGATTTTTCCATTCAAAGGCAAACAGAAACTGAGAATCTGAATGTAGAGGAATGGAAAAGAATGCAACTTTTAGATCTAAGACTAAGAAGAAATTAGTTTCCCCTGGAATTTAAGAGAATTGTATATGGATCTGCCACTAGAGGGTGGGTTGAAATGGTAGTCTCATTAATGAGGCAGAGGTCTTATGCTATTTTATATACTCCTGAGAGCTTTTCTACAAAGAGAATGAGAATACTGCAAGGGGCCCGATAAAGCTGCAGATGGCGGTATTTGGGAAGCCTGTTGATGAGAGGTTGGAGGCTTTGACTGCCTCTTTCTTTGAATGGACATTGATTTTGGTTCGGAAATCAGTTGGGTCTTTCAGTTTTACAACTACTGGCATAGCTGAATTTGTCCTACAAAATATTCCATTATACCATGCAGCGGGATCCACTTGTTGGTAGTTTGGTTAGAGACACCTATGGTAGCCCCAACAGGTAAAATCCATTTTGGCCTTTGCCAAGATTTGAGAATTGCCCCCAATTTTACTAGTAAATCTTTCCCTAGCAACGAGTAGGATATTGTGGGGCAATTAGAAACTCATGGCCAGCCATCTGACCTTCAAAGTGACATGGCAAAGCAGGAGTAAAGAATCTCTGACTAGGGGATCCCCTTAACTATGGCTGTAGATCTAGAGAAGAGTTTTCCAGAGAAGTAAGTCAAAAAACAAAGTAAAGTAATTGAATTTGCTTACCCATGATGTCTAGTGTTACCCAGGGATTCTTGTAGGAGATGGTATATTGGAAGCATTGTAGGTTGAAGAGACCTTGTAGGTCTCTTCAGAGCAAGAAATAAGGATTTTGGCTGGCTTATCTCCTCTCTGGGAATAGGGACAGTCACCTTCCAGTGCCATGAGCTAGGCGTATTGACTTCCTCACACTCAGAGGAGGGTCCAGGCAGTGGCTTGGTGCAGTTGCATGCCCCGTGTCCAGACTTCTTGTACACGATCACTCTTGGGTTTTCTCTTAGATGATTTGGGTGAATTTAAAGCATTGCCAATTGTGACAATTATAATTCTATTTTTTCTCTTTTGAGCCTCCTACAGATCTCAACTGTTGAAAATAGAAAAGGCTGTGTTCAGTAATTGGGTCATAAGTATCTGGGGTCCCATTTGAAGTTTCATCATTTAACAGATGGGAGAGACCCGTATCCCCTGACAGACAGGTGGGGATCTTAGGACAAATAAAAAAATCTCCCTCTTACTCTGGGGCCACTCTAGATACCATAGTTGCTGAATTTTTCCTGAGATAAAAGGTCACAAGAGCCTGAACATAAGGGGTTTCACTCCACCTTCTATGTTTTAAGAAGAAACCATTAAACTGAAAAGCAATCTCATTTAAACTGCCACCTTGTAGCCATATCTTGCCATTTCCCAGTTCATATTGAACCCCATATGCAATATTGCAATACTAGGTAAATTATTCCTTTTTTAAAATGGCAGGAGCAAACCTTTCCTACTGTCAAAGGATGTGGCCTAGTGGTACAGTCAGTGGAATCTGCAGGGTGTGGTTCATGAGGTTTCTCATTGCCTACCGAGAGAGACAGTTAGATATCAGGCCCTTAAGATAGTGTCCCATGTAGAAGGAGGGAGTCAATTTGAGCCCACAAAGTGTCCTTTGTGGGATTTAAGTATTCACTAGACAGATTCCTCTGTCCAACGCTAGGATGATGCCAGCATCTTTCATAGAAACGGAAGAAAGCCCTAGTGAGGGCTTTTTGTCTCCATATGGGAGCTACTAACTCCTTCAGGAGAGGGATACTGAGCCACTTCATGGTTCTACCCAACCATTGGAAACTTCCATGAGACCAAGGTGGAGTCTGAACCCCCTGGACTCCCTTAGCCATTCTGAGGCACCTGATGGCTCTGTTTCAGCAGGGCGGGAACCATTTGAGAAATAGGATCTCTTACATTTAACTTGAAAGTAAAAGCTTTGCTGCTTTGTTGAAGGCAACAGAGACAGAAACTTCCTTTAAAAACACACTTTTAAAAATCTCAAGAATGACTTATAGTCACTTGAGTTAAGCTTTATTGTCTCTACTTTTGCTCTGCTCAGGCCAAAATTCCTATGTTTCTAAATTACCTGTATTTTGTTAGAAGAAATAAGGAAGGGAAATATGGTGGAACTCACATGGCTGATCCAAAAATGAGTGACCAGTCATGTGACAAGACAAGATGGCAACCCTGATTTAGCACCCTCAGAAAATGACTATGTAGGGGAAAAGTACAGATGGGACTTTGAGCACAAAATGGAGTAAATTGATGTGGGAAATCACTTAGTCTGCTTCAAAACTCAGGGCATCTAAGGACACCTTAGGACATGACCCTGCTTGTCTAGTGCAGGTATACAGTGGGATACAGCTGTGTAACCAGGACTTAGCACAGGTAAATACACATGCGCTGGTTATGGTACTATGTAAGAATATAACAATGAGATAACAACCTGTGTAAGGATTATACCATAAAGATGCAGGTAACTCTTGCTCTCTTGTGCTCTGATCCATGCTTCCTGTTATTGTTGTTGATGTCTTGCACACATGTGTTTTTTAACCTGGAGACCTCAACCTTGAAAATCTACCTTGGGCCTCCTAGGAAGCTACTCAGGCAGGCCACCAAGTTACCAACAGATATTTTTCTCCAAAAGAGTAAGAAAGCTGAGCGAAGGATCACAAAAAACAGAAACAAGAAGTCAAGAATGCATACTAAACTCTGGGTTGCACATGTGGGACCTGAATGATCTGTTCTGCAGTGGGGTTAGTAATAACAGGCTCTCTGGCTGTTGTTTATGAGTTATATCTGCAATGAATGATCAAAAATAGGACAAAGAAAGAAAAGGGGAGATAAACTTCAAGCAAGCCTGTAGGCCTCCTGTGGCTGGAAGAAAAACAAAAAGAAGGCGTGCATTCCTCTCCTCACTCCCATATGGTAGGAAAAGCAGGAAACGGTTCCTGGTACATGAGAAGAGTTTCCTGAGTTTCCCAGTGTAGAGTAGAGAGACTGGGAAAAAGAAAAAAAGCCTTCAATGGCATTTTAGGGAGAAACAAAAAATAAACAAACAGACAAAAAATGTGCATAAAGGGCTTTACCTGCTCGTCTGGCTGGCTCAGCTAAATATGTTACCAGGTTTTGGGGTGCCAGAGTTTTCTTCTGGAGGTAGTTTCTAGGTTCTTTCTGTCCCAGATAAAGAATTGAATGAAACAAGCATAAATGGTGGTAAGATTTTATTAAAAGTAGGAAAATAAATAGGCCCTGCCAAGTGAGTTTGGGCCAAATAACAGTAGGAAAAGAAGTGCACCTTACGGCATGAGGGTGGTCCACGATGCAAGGGAGACCACAGAATTTTAACTGCTGAGTGCCCTGCAGATGCCTGTGGCACCAGCAGCAAAGCCAGCAGAGGTTCCAAGCTTCACTCCGAGGTCCCTAGCTCAGCTACTTTCTCCATGCCACCCTCTCCCAAGGCTGCTTCCCCTGTCCCTCCTATCCATTCCCATTTCCAAAGGAACCCAGCCCTGCTGATGTATCAAGAAACAGCACTTCTTGCCATCCCAATGATTCAAAAGTTAGTGTGTCTGCTTTGAGAAGTCTCAGCCGGAACAGGGTGTTACAAGAGTCCCTGGATCCTTCAGCATGAGTGATCTAGCCGAGAGTAAACAAAAACTTGGATGATTCTCAGAGGACCCAGAGATTCATAGACCAGTTCCAGGCTTTGTCTATCACTTATGGTCTAACTTGAAGAGCTTGTCACTCACCATTTTCTCTTTGAAGTGGAAGTCTGTATATGGACAGCAGCACAGCTTAAGGCCAACAAAATGCAAACCTGAAATAGGACCAGAGATGTGAGTACAGTTACCGCCCAGAGGGATACTGATTGGCAATATGAAATTAAAAATGACCACATTTTCTGTTTTTTTTCTCTTCACAAAAAAAAAGCAATTTCAGCAAATTAAAAAAATCAGGGCCACAAAAAGCATGATGAAATGATTACACATTTAATTGACTGGATGATAAAATGCATAAATAAACTAATCAGTTATCAAATGATTAGGGAAATCACTGAAGACAGGGAAGAAAATCCGGCTTTATTTCTGGGGTACTTAACTGAAACTCTCTGAAATAAACTAATATTGTGCCCAACTTACAGGCAGGACAAGTTTTACTGAGGACATATTTTATCAGCCCATCTGCCTCAGATATTTGTAGAAAGTTTCAACAGTAGGCTATGGGCCCTCAGACCCCTGATAAACTTGACATTTGGAGTCTTTAATAACAGGGACAAAGTAGTGGCAAATGCCAATGCCAGAGGAAATGACTATAGTCACAAAAAGAACAGGCCCAATTCATCGCTTTGCTGTCTCCTCAGAATAAGCCCAAGACTCCACATATAAAGGGAGGGAGTAGGAGACAACATGGCTGCTGCAGCTGTGGAAGGCCTAGCTATTAGTAAGAAGACTCCAGAGAGTGAAACCCTTCTTCACTTGGGATGTGACCCTCTGTAAAGAGGGAAAACACTGGAAACAAGACTTCCCTGTCCTCTGAAGGGCAGTCTATTTTGGCACCCTGGCAAAATATGAATGCCTCAGGTCTCTCAAACTGCCCTCAACAAATAAGACATCACCTACTGAAACTTAAATAACTCTTGATGTGGCAGATAAAAGTATCGGTTTTTAAAAATTGGATACTAGGGCTTGTATATGTGCTTTGCTAAAATTCCCTGAACCTGTTTCTAATAAGACTCATGTTGTAACTGGTGTTGATCACACCCTAGGGCCAACCACTTTGTAATACTTTTAACCTGCAGATTTGGAGAACTAATTTTCACTCACTCTTTCCTAATTTTCCCAGAATGTCCTAGCCTATTATTAGGAAGAGAGGTTTTTTTTTTTTTTTTTTTTTTTTTTTTTTTTTTTTTTGTCTTTTTCATTTTTATCGGTACCAGGGATCGAACTCACCACTGCCTGCTTGCAAGGCAGGTGCTTATGCCGCTGAGCTAAATCCCCAGCCCCAGGAAGAGATTTTTTTTATTTGGCCTTTTTAGTGGCAAATCTGTTCCTAGCACCAAAATGTTTATCTCCTTTTTTGAGAGTATTAGCATTACAACCAGTAAACTATCTATTTAGAGATATACCTAGAGAAGTTTTATCAGAGGTAAATCTGTGGGTCTGAGGTACTGAAACTCCAGGAAAGGTGGTTCATGCCCAGCCTGTTATCATTTCCTTAAAAGACCCAAACAGCTGTCTCACAAATGACAAAATCCTATTAAGCCAGAGGCCTGCTGGGGGCTTCAGCTTCTAAATTCTAAATTCCTCAAACATAGTCTTTTGATCTATTGCTAATCCCTGTGCAATGCTCCCTCCTTCCAATACTAAAACCAAATGGGAAATATCAGCTTCTCCAAGATTTTTGGACTATTATAAAAGCTGTTATTCCACCCATCCTGTGACTCCTAACTACTTTAACCCAAACACTGGACGAAACTACATGGTTTACTGTCTTAGCTCTAAGAATGCCTTCTTCTGCATCGATTGCACCCTGATTCACAATATATTTTAAATAGACTGATCCTTATGCTACAGAAACTGCTTAACATACATGGGTAATACTAGCTCAGGGATTCAGAAACAGTCTTCACTTATTTGGAAATGCTCAGCTAAAAAATTAAGGTCTCTAAGTTTAAAACTTGGGACACTGTTCCAGTATGTAGATAGTTTATCAGAGCCTGACTCTGATGAAAATACTGTTAGGGTTTTAAATTTCTGCAAGAAACCACGTGTCCACATAATGGGCTCAGATGTCTTAGCAAAGAGTTGGGTATTTAGGACATATTCTAACCCCAGGGGAATAAACCTTCACCCCAAAGAGAAAGAAAGCTCTTTTAAAACTAGGCCTTCCTTAAATCAAAAGGTAGTTAAGGCCTTCATAGGGTTGGCTGGTTGTTGCAGGATATGGATTCTCAGTTTTGGATTCATAGCTAAGCCTCTGCATAAGCCTACACAACAGTCTGACCATCAGCTCCAAAAATGGATTGGAAGTCAGTGAGAGGTTTCTCAAAAATTCAAGGATCTGTGGCTGTCTACTTCAGCTTTAGGAACTCCTGATTTAGATAAGCCATTTAACCTAGATAGAGGCAAAAGGCAGGGCGTAGCACTGGGGGATTTTACTCAAAATCTGGGGGACATTCCTCAGTTTGTGACTTACTCTTCTAAACAATGGGAGCCTGTGTCATGTGGATGGCTGGATGCCTGCAGTCTGTACCTGCCACAGCACTCTTGTGTGCCGCATGCACAACAAGGGTATATTAAAAAAAAAAAGATTGCTAGTGGATTAAAAAGGAAGATAACAAATGGTTGACAAAGCCACCAAATTAACTCCAAGGTGCTCACTAAAGGTCCAAAACCTGCATCAGGTTCAAGATATTCTTAAAGTTAAAGGACACCAGTGGCTAACTAGAAGATGGCTGTCTAAATATCAGGCTCTCCTGTTAGACTCCAGAGATTGCTCTTGAGGTGTGCCAGACTTTAAATTCAGCAACCTTATCTACCCCAAGAGGAGACAGCTCACTTCACCCCTGTGGAAAACTATAAAACAGGTTATCTTGAAGGGCTAATCTTAAAGACCAGCCCTTAGACAACCCCAATACACGTTTGTTCACTGATGAGAAGGGTTACATGAGTAATGAGATGCAGAGGTCAGATTATACAGTCATTAGCCTCCAAGAGGTGATTGAGGCAAAACCACTTACTTCAAACACCTTGGGACAAAAAACTAAAAACTAAAATCATTGCTCTTACCCCACAATTGGGAGAAAACAAGTGCGCCCTCTATGCTGACTCCAGATGGGCTTTCTTTTTTTTTTTTTTTTTTTTGGTCTTTTTTCGTTTTTATCGGTACCAGGGATGGAACTCACGACCGCCTGCTTGCAAGGCAGGTGCTTATGCTGCTGAGCTAAACCCCCAGCCCCTAGATGGGCTTTCTTTGTCCTTCTTGCTATATACAGGAAAAGAGGCTGTTAACAACAAAAACCCTCCAATTAAACTTGGACCTGGGATCCTTTCCCTCCTAAAAGCAATGTGACTGTCAACCGAGATAGCAGCAGTGCACTGCAAGGACATCGAAAGGGCAGTGCTCCCCTATTCCAGGAAATGCCTGGGCAGGTCACAGTGCCAAACAAGTAGCCCTAAAAGACGTCTTACAGATGACTTGGACTCTGAGTGTAAGTACAAACCTGTCCTATTCAGAGATGAAAAAGGAACGGGCAAGGAAGCAAGGACATATTAAAGAACAAAAAGATTGTTGGTGGATTAAAGAGGAAGATCATAAATGGTTGTTTTGTTTTGTTTTACCTCAAGGTAATCAGTGGAAAATTATTAAAGGAATCAATGATTCATACCACCTAGGAAGGGAAGCACTGGCCACCTTGATCAGTTGTGCTTTAGCGGGGGAAAAACTTGAAATCACTATTCAAGAAGTCAAAAGTGCTTGGTACCTGCAGCTTCAAAGCAATCAAAGAGGAAAAGCTAAGCCTCTGCCTTTGCTCAACTCAGTACAAAAGTGAGGTGGGACAAGTCCTCTCTGAGAGGACTGGCAACTAGATTACCCCCAGATGTCCCCATATCAGGGGTACAGTACCTCTTGGTTTTTGCTGACACTTTCTCTGGGTGGATAAAAGCATATCCTTCCCTGACTAAAATGTCTAAAAAAGTCAGACATTATTACTAGATTTGGATTTCTCAGATCACTTCAGAGGACATGGAACTTCTTTTGTTCCTAGAGAATGACACAGAACGTTTCACAGCTTTGAGGATATCATTATCTTCTTCAAAATGTTAAGTAAATGTATTGGTATATTTTAGGTATATATAATGATCACATTCATTATAAGGAATTTGTACCTGTATACAATATTCTTTTTTCCCCATTCTCCTATTGTCCTTCAACCCTTCTTCCCTCCTTATTTACAAAAGCTTTGTTTCGTTTTTCCTTGTTTTCTCATTTTTTCCCTTCCCTCGTTCCCCTTCCATTTGAACATGTTCTTCCTGTTTCACCATATCTAGTATACACTTTGGTCCTTATTCACATTTTCAGTTTTTCACAGCAGAGAAACAATGCAGTATTTACACATATGTGTCCAATTCATTTCACTTAAGAGTCTGGTTCCAAGGTGCATCCATGTACTTAGAAATGTTTCAGGTTGGGCCAAGGACATAGCTCAGTGGCATAGCACCTGCCTGACAACTACAAGGTCCTGGGTTCAATTCTCAGTACCAAAAAAGAAAAAAGAAAAAAAAGGAATATCTCAAGTTTACCCTTTTTTATGGCAGAGTAAAACTCCACTAAAAAAGAACCCTACATCTTCTTTATCCATTTATCAGTTGATAGACATTTGAGCTGTTTCCAAGACTTAGTTATTGCAAACTTTGCTGCTATAAACATTGCTGTGCATACATCATTGTGATATGATGCTTTTAATTCTGTCAGGAGGATATCAGGAAGGGGAACAGGTGGATCAAATGGGATCTCTAGTCTTAGTTTTTTGAGGAGTTTCCACACTGCTTTCCACAGTGGTTACACCAGTTTACATTCCCACCAACAGTGAAGAAAAGTGTTCCTTTTCCCCCACAGTTCCAATCAGTATTTGTTATTGATTGATATCTTAATAGCAGTCATTGTTTCCAGAGTGGGATGGAATCTTGATGTTGTTTTAATTTGTATGCCTCAACTGACCAGTGAAATTGAACATTTCTTCATATATTTTCTTGACGATTCCACTTCTTCAACTGAGAAGTGTCAATTCATTTCAGATGCCCATTTTTAATTTAG